AAGCAGCTCAGATGATGAAACTGCAACTATGATTCTGATAACAAGCTAACAAATTGAACTAGCTCCTCTTCTAAGACAACTGGCTAGCAGAGCTTCTGACTGACAGTTTATGTGCAGCAGCAAATCAACTATCCTGATTAACGAGGTTTTAAAAGCTCATAAAGGAAAAATCACTTTGATGTGTGGGGGAACTTTTCCAGGCCCTCTTTAGCAGGGTGGGACTGGGAGGAGAGTGCTGTAGCCTTTTAGCTGGAAGCTAACCGGAGCCTGGGGCTAACATCACCACCCGGTGGAACACTAGCGACATGAAGGTGGGTTGGTTCACCGGCACATGTCGGAGTCAGCCCGGTGAAAATTATTAACGACACCGAGTGGACTCGCATTCTCGTTTGAAAGCAGCGCCGATTCCAGAAACCTCAGCACAAAGTGCGTTTGTTGCTCTGAGCCAGCATGATGAACAAGGGAACGGCACCGCTAATGTTCGGGTGTTGCTTTCCATCCTAAACCCAAAATTCCACTACCTCCGCTCCGCTGCGCTCCGGCACGAACTCCGCAGCAAAATCGGTCCCATTGTAGTCAATCAGAGCTGTTTCACTACTGCGGCCGTGCGGCGCAGTGCGCCGCCCGCCGTTCCGCCATCCGGCAAAAATAGGATTGATTCTATTTTTGCCGGACGCCGGAGCACCTCCGCAGTCAATGGACAGGAATCACAACTGCCCAACAGGAAAGGGAGCAAGCACAGCTTCCGTTATTTCACAATAAATCGATAAACAAAAAGCATTTTTTGTTTCATATGCACAGGTTTAACTACTTTTAACAACTATCAATGGCGGCTGAACTTTAAATGCACAAAAATAAGCCATAAATAAAGTTTCTACTATCAAAGTAGTCACACTTTGTTGATCCAAACACTGCTGATCTCTCAACACAAATGATGGGCAGATTAAACAGTTCATTTCGATGCTTCTCCCACACAACGGGTGTTTGGATCTAACTTCCGCGTTTATTTCTCGGACTGTATCGCAAGATCTCGAAAATCCCACGCATGCTTGTTTGCGCACCTCAGGTCTCCACACCGGAGCGGAGCCGTTGTGGAGCTGGTACCAGTAAAAATTGAGTTCGGAAGCGAGCGGCTGCGGAAGGCGGGGGCGGAGCGGAGGTAGTGGAATTTTGGGGTAAGGGTCTACGTAGGGGGCGGGCGTATTACGTGAACGGACCCATCTGATCGGCCGCATATCAGAAGAGCTACATTTGATTGGTCAAATAATACTTCCGCGTAAAAAACAGAGCTGGTTTACAAAAAGTTGATGTATGACACTGATGGAAATGTTGAACCAAACATTTATCGCCGTTTTTGGCGTGCTTTGCGATGGGCCTTTCGCACGTCCTGTTATCCCGATGACGATAATTTTTCGATATATTGTGCAGCCCTATCATGCATCATAAAATTAATATTGAGGTTAACAATCACTTCACATAAATGTGTAAAAAAACATTTCCACTTCACACTGAGAATTAACCTCCGAGTATCTGAGTGAAGGCTTGATTTCTGTGGTATTTTGTTAACACCTTTTTAACTTGTCAAATTTGATTTGTCTAAGTTTATAAAGAAAGGTTAATAAAAGCTAGAACACTTCCTGGTCTGGCCAATCTTCGCTGTTCACTTAATAAGGCCAATCGAGTGAACAATCATTTTAAGATTCTCCTCTCTTTTGACATCAAGGTTACAGTCGCTCTGCAATGCTTGCAAGTGATTTCAGACACAACACCTCTTTTAAGAGCCACCCAACACCTCAAACGTGGAACATCAAACCTGCAGACCCTGGTTACATCTCACGGCTGGTAAAAGCTGAATTCAAAGGGAGCTACGACTCTTTGGGTTCTCGTGGTCTCAACATCCAGTGAACTCACCACTTGGGCCTTTCCTCCGGACTGCCTGTCTGATGAAGCCAACAGGACCACATCATCTGCAAAAAGCAGAGGCCTCCCAAACAGATCCCTTCAACACCTCGGCTGCATCCTGTCCATAAAAGTTATGAACAGGAGTCCAACTCTCACCGGAAACGAGCTCAACTTACTGCCGGCAATACCGACCAAGCTCTGACACTGGTCATACAGGGACCTAACAGCCCTTATCAAAGGGCCTGGTACCCCATACTCCCAGAGTACCCCCCACAGGGCCACCCCGAGCGACGCAGTCGAATGCTTTCTCCAAATCCACAAAACACATGTAGATTAGTTGGGCAAACTCCCACGCACCCTTCAAGATCCCCCTAAGGGTATGGAGCTGGTCCAGTTTTCCACAGCCAGGACGAAAACCACATTGTTCCTCCTGAATCCAATGTTCGACAATCCAGCAGACCCTCCTCTCCAGAATCCCTGAATAGACTTTACCAAGGAGGCTCAGGAGTGTGATTCCTCTGTAGTTGGAACACACTCTGCAGCCCCCCTTTTTAAATAGGGGGACCACCACCCCAGTCTGCCAATCCAGTGGAACTAACCCCGATGTCCACGCAATACTGCAAAGTTGTGTTAACCAACACAGCCCAGCAACATCCAGAGCTTTAAGGAACCCCAGTTGGATCTCATTCACCCCCGGGGCTTTGCCACTGAGGAGTTTTTTTGACCACATCGGTGACCTCTGCCCCAAGATCTCCCTCCCACCTGTGGCTACAGTGGCTGAGCGCCGTACATGGCTGCTCTCACTGGGGAAACAGGATCCCAGCCGGGGACGCTCAACCAACAACACCCTTCCCCGCTGTGAGTCAAGATGGGTGAGTCCAAGAATGTTCAGTGTGACATAGGTCTGTCAGGATTTTTTAATCCTGGAGCTTCACAGTCTATTTTCTATCAGAAGCTAATGCAAGAGATAGGTGTAGGAGACCATTTTCATGTTCAGCCTGCATGAAAAACTCTTATTTAAATTTTTTTTCAGTGAACCACACCTTTAATTATTTTTGCCTAATAGCCTTTTTTTGAGTTTTTGTAAAAAGACAAAAGGTTAAATTGTTGGCAGATGGTCAGGGTTAGCACTGAATGATAGAGACAACTTAATCAATTTTTATGGTAAATTCCTACTAGTGCAGTTATTATGAATATTACTTATTACTTTAATGTAATTTCTACTTGCTCATATCTTTTCAAATTTCATCAGTAAGAATATTATTTGGTCAATGGATATTATGCATCCCTATTTTGCCCCATATTCACATTTTTCTGGTTTCAGGCAATGCTGCCTTTACAAATATGCCAAATAAATTGGAGGATTAAATTTTTTTTAAGTTTAATGCACAAATTTGCTACAGTTGTCAGCTCATTTCTCTTTTAAAAACCCTGCTGCCACATATTACTTCTTTCTATCTTACAACTGTTAAAAATATTCTCAATATTATGGGATTGAATTTATGCAAGTGTTGTTTTGAAAATAATACACAAATTAACACACACTGCTTTTTCAACTTATAGTTCAGTAGTTTACTGCCATAGGTTTGATTATTATCATGTGTTGTTTTACATTTTACATCTTTTTCGTTTTTCTTTCTCATAATTACTGATGAGGGACAGATAAAAGGTTTAATTCTTGTTAATCTCAGAAATCAAGATGACAGAAAAATGACACCTGAAAACTGGAGCTCATAGATACCAGATACTGTGAAGGTCAGAATAAGACCAGGGCCCTCATTCATCCACTGTACTTACAAACAGATCAGTGTGTTTTGTGCGTGGAAACGATAATACGCATTGTGCGGTATTTACCAATTTGTACTTGTGCGTGAAAATGTTCCTAAATACAAGAACAGCTCTGACCATGCGTAGAAACAGCATCTAGTGGTAGAACGGTGGAACCACAATACTGAAGGTCTCAGTCATCCACGCGTGTTACTCATCTACAAATTGGATTTACCCGGTATGTAATTCTGTCAGTGGAAAACAGTTAAAAGACATGCGACAGATTGGAATCTGACATTATATCACGAATAATCTGTGTTATTGGAAGACTTAACAGAGTGTGCACTCTGGGGGGGAACGTTCTCCGTGAGCGCACCGATCTTAAAGAAAATCCTTCTGCTATGCTGTGATGTGGAACCCATCGTGGCGCGACAGACAAACCTCACAAATCCGATTCCAGAGAGCCCCCCAGAACCTCCTCTGCTCACTGATCATACACACCGCGTTGCCAAGGTAACCAGGCTGAATGGCAGCTCAGAAGAGGCTGCACTCTAGGACAACATTTCCAAATAAAACTAAATCCAAACAGAACGACTCCATAAATGTAACATGTAAATGAGAACCCATTACTCCATGACTTATCAAATCCATTTTTTTTTTCTGACGGGAACCTCTTCCCTGTCCCAACAGCGTTTATAAACTCTGCAACTTGTTTGGTTATTTTGCGCTTCGGCGGCCAGTGTTTCGATCTCGCTGCCAAAGTTTTTCTTATTTCCCTCTCGTGCTGAGGACGTAGCGTGACCAATTTTGGTTAATTGAGGGCATTTATGTATGTAAATGATGGTGAAGGGACACGAGCACCGGGGTACGCACATACGTGGGATTCATCATCAGACAGTTGTGGAGGAATGTGCGTACGAGAGACCACTGCACGTTACATAAATCAGTCTTTTGACTGTTCGTACACACGTTCTAAATTTCGGTCGTAAGAGGGAATATAGGACAGTTTCTACGAATGTTTGATAAATGAAGGCCCTGGACTAGGGTGTCGGGACTAGGGCATCAGATGGGTTAACAAAACAAAACCTTTCAAATGTATGATTAACCCAGAACACATAACCAACATTTTAACACTGGGTAGTCAGTTGTTTTTTTTATTCCAGATATTTTAGAACGCTGATTAAGTTTTACTTTTTTGGGCTTAACATAAGGGTTTATTGGAACTTTTATAGAAAAACTTAAAACATCCCTATGTGTTGTTTATAACAGCATCAGACTGTGAAGACAAATAATGAAAGTGCTCATTGATGCAGGGTGTGGCCGTTCCTCACCTTAGTCTCCCCTGAATCTGTCGTTTCTTCTAGTTTATTTGTGCAAACTGATGGTGTGACCAGAACTTTTCTTTTAGTTCCGTGTTCTTCATCGATCTTCCTCAGACTCTCCTGCTCTTCTTCGTGGCATTTTCTGCAAAAAGTCTTTATTAATTATATTAAATAAATAAATAAATAAATAAATAAATAAAACAACCACTCAAAAGAAAAAAACCGGTCAGCATTTTCCCTATATCCATGACCTACTTTAATATTTACAGATGGAACATCCATTTGAAACATGAAAAGGTGATTCTGAAGATAATTCTGTTTAAGAGACTTACGCAACTCTTCCCGCCACATCAACGTGGTTCCCTGCAGGGGAGACCTTCTGTTCCTGCAGCACGGTCTGAAGTTTCTTCTCTTCCTGGAGAGTTTCCTGTTCTGGTGAAGGTCTTACTGGAGTGCAGGCGATGGTTTCCCTCCTGTTTCGAGCTCTCTGCCTCCATGGAGCAGCAAATTTTCCCTCCCCACGTCTCTCCTTCCGAGACGAGGCAGAAACTTTCATGGCTTCAGTTTCTTCAGTTCTCCCAAACATCTCTGCTCCTCCAGCGACCTGCTCTTGGCTGTGGGCTGCATCCTTTAGATCATCCTCCATCCCACTCCGGTCCAATCCAGCAGAGCGGCTCTTCTTCAGGATTCCTTTCAAGCCCAGCTCAGAGTTGTGACACGGTGGGCCCTGGTGGGCTATATGGGGCTCTGCAGGTCTGGGTTCAGCATCAGGTTTTACCTGTGAAAGACGCAGCTCACTGGGTTTAAGGTTAACAGATGAGTCCTGCTGTCTGTTGGACAGACGAGGGGCCAAACTGAAGGCAGGGAGCTGAACCGGACATTTCTCGAGCTGCAGACAGAAGGAAAACAGAACTTAGACACATCCAGCAAGGACATGAACAGCATGGTTCTGTTTCCTCCCACTCACCAGACTGACCTCCTCCACCGTGATGGGCTGCGTACGATACCGAGCCCCCTTTTGCCTTCGTCTCTCTGGGGGCCCATCAGGGGGGACGGCCCCCTGTCTCCCAGGCAGAGACAGTTTGTTGAAGAGAGCCAGCTTCTCTCTCATGCTCATCTTGCAGCTCTCATCGTCATCATCCACCACCAAATCACTGGCTGGTGTTGCAGCGCTGCTCAGCAACAAGACACGTACAAAACCAGATTTCGTTTTAAAATGGGAAAATTAAAAAGCCCACAAAGAACAATAACTCATCACAGATTATGATAGTGATTTTCTAACTCTGCTTCCCCCACCTGATTGCCACCTTTTCTTCATTGGTGATGGGCTGAGTGAGGAAGCGGTGGTCGTTGCTGCGGTGTGTTCTACGTTCATGGACAAAGCCGGCTGATCGAGGCTTCAGGAGGGCTGAGGCTTCAGGGGCAGCCGACTTCTCCAGCTCCTGCGGAAGAACAAGGATATCAACACAACTCACCTAAACCAACATTCAGCTGAGTCCCATTCTGTCCCGCTCTGAACTTGAGACAGTTCTCCACACCTTCATCTCCTCACACTTAGACTACTGTAACTCTCTTTTCACGTGTCTGAGCAGAACCTCCCTGAACCGTCTACAGGTGGTTCAGAATGCCTGTGCTCGGCTTCTGACCAAGTCCTCCAAATACACCCACATCACCCCGCTTCTCCTCCAGCTTCACTGGATGATGGTCAACTTCAGGGTTCATTTCAAGATCCTGGTTCTGGTCTATATGGCCTTACATGGACAAGCACCATCTTACATTGGTGATCTTCTTAGTCCCTACACCCCCAGCAGGTCCCTTAGGTCCAGTGATCAATGCCTACTGGTTGTGCAGCAGCAGGCTAAAGACCAAAGGTGACAGATCATTTGCTGCTGTGGCCCCCAGACTCTGGACCTCTCTCCCCCTGAGCCTGAGATCAGTGGACTCAGAGGTCTCCTTTAAAAATCAGCTGAAACTCACCTGTTCAAGCTGGTTTTGGTGTGACCTTCATCACCACCCTCTTTGTTTTGCCCTTTTTACTTATTCTGACATTTTCGCGATCCACTATTTCCCTCTTTCCTAATTATTTTCTCTCTCCCTTTTCTTACATTATTTTGTCATCACATTTTTTTTATTTTAAACGTATTTTTCATCGTTTTTCTAAATCCTTTTATAATTCTAATTTTTCTTGTTTTTGTGAAGCTCGTTAAGTGGCTCAAAATACTAAAAAACCACTGGTAAAGGTTCTGGTACCAAATAGAAAATGAGTACAACTTTGCCTCAGATGGACCCTTCTTTAAGAGCCTCAGCTGCTTAATCCTTTAACTTCAACCTGAAAAACAGACAGAGAAACGTCAATGTCTGTTCATTTATTTGTGAGACAGGAATGAAGGGAAAGCGTGGAGCAAAATAGCGAGCGGTAAGTCGGAGCATCCCGACTGCTTGCTTCACGCCGTCCAACAGGTCAGAAGGTAACCAGAGACCTGCAGGCTTCAGTTACCTCCCCGCCTTTCTCTGCAGAGCTGCAAGCCGATTAGAACAGCTGCTGGCTGTTAACGGCACATTTTCACCTGATTCTTCAGAGCTAAAACTGATCAGGAGCCGAAACCTTTCAGTTTTTCACAGGAAATGACTGAATTTGGAGTTTATTTTAATAACAGAAACAAAATAAGCTGTGTGCATCTGAGGGCTGCACCTGTCCCAGCAGTCATATTTTGGGATCAGGTTGTATTCTGCAAGATCAGCGCTGGCTAAACATGCATCTTAGATTAAAAGGTGAGCAGCTGAGGCGAGTTTTTCTGCAGCTGTTCGATGTGTGTCTCAACACCTCATCACCCCTTCACACCAATGGCAGTTAACAGTTGGATTCGTCACGCACACTTTGAGAAGTTTATGCAGATCCTCTCTCTGTGAGTGATAATAAGCAGGTCATGATAAGGATCCTGTTTCGGAGTCGAGACTTACTTTAAATAAAGACATCTTGGCTGCCACGCTCATTTTGGCTCTGTCGTCTGTTTTCACGTTGGCTGTGAGAGAAAACATGAGAATGTGAGGAACAAACAGCAGCAGTGTGAGTTCTCACACGCTTCAGACAGCAGCGGAGAACGATGCTGGTGAAGATGGAATACTTTTGAATTAGTGCCAAAATGCATTTAAGCACAATTAATTTAGTTTAATCCATTTTTGTTTGCCTCAGTCATCATTTCCAGCATTAGGGTTTCCATTTAAAAGCCATTTTCCTCCAGTATGAATGAAACACATCCCTGTTCTGTTGTCGGCAATGAGCAGAAGATACATTTGTCTTGCATTAAAAAGTAGTGCAAATACCTAATTTGAACTAGTAACCTCAAATTGACACTTCAAAAAGCTCGGACTAAAAGTGTGTTTCTGCAAATGAAAGCCAATGCTTATGTGTGGACTTCTTAAGTTAGGGTCAAACAAAAATAGAACCGACTTTAGCATCAAGCCCACATGGTTTTCCGGGTATTAAACTGTCATTACGCAGGATGTTAAATAATGTGAGCCTCCAAATAAAAAACTTTGTTTACTTCCTGACCAGTCGCAGGAATTTAGAGGGGCAACTGTGCAAGCTGGAGCAAGACAGAAAATATTATTGGCAAGAAACGAAGAAAAATGTTTGCTGAAACGTGTCCGTGATGAATCATTATTCTTGTCTCTCCGAAGCAAGACTAAAAACTGAAATAGCACGCAAATTCAAAGAAAAGAACATTTTTGAAAAGATTCTGAAGAGTGTCAGTGCAGCTCCAAAGTCCACCTAATTATTTGTCTGTTTAACTTCTATTTCATGAGGATGAAAACCACTTGAGGTGTGTCATCTCACCTTTGAGCGGGTCCTTGAAATATATCATTTAGGAGACACACACGGTGATATTTGAGAACTGAAACAAAGTTTGTAGGATTTACAGAATGTGTGCAATAATTGTTTTAACATAAGTAGGCAGGTGCATAATTTAAGCACTGTTGTCATTTTATTGATTCCCAAACCTTTAGAACTAATTATTGGAACTCAGAATTGGTTTGTCAAGCTCAGTGACCCTTGACCTCCATACACAGGTGAATCCAACTGTGAGAAAGAGTATTTAAGAGGGCCAATTGTAAGTTTTCCTCCTCTTTGAATATTCTCTGAAGAGAAGCAACATGGGGGTCTCAAAACAACTCTCACATGAGCTGAAAACAAAGACTGTTCACCATCATGGTTCAAGGGAATGATACAGAAAGCTGTCTCAGAGATTTCAGCGGTCTGTCTCCACAGTTAGGGACTTACTGAGGAAATGGAAGACCACAGGTAGAGTTCAAGGTAAGGCTCCAAGTGGCAGAGCAAGAAAAATCTCAGATAAACCAAATCTACAACATCATCTTGCTGCAGACGGAGTCTCTGTGCATCACTCAACTATTCGGTGCACTGTACACAAGGAGATGTTGTATGTGAGAGTGATAAAGAGGAAGCCTTTTCTCCGCCCACAGCACAAAAAGAGCTGCTTGAGGTATGTTAAAGCACATTTGGACAAGCCAGCTTAGTTTTGGAATGAACCAACCCATGATGAATCTCATACCCTGGACGATTTGGGCTCAGTGTTTCTGACTTGCAAATTGACATTGCCTGCCCATCAGATCATTCAATTGTTCAATTTTAAATCTCTGGCATGTCGCCTCTCCCTCAGCAGCTGCAATCTGAATGCCGCTCGAGATGCACTTCTTCTATTCTCCCGCAGCTATCCTCTCAGTTGGCTGCCTCGCTACCATATCTGCCAGCATCAAATGTAAATGATCTGGTCAACTCAGTAAGTTCAGCTGCTAGTGACTTTGTTGGCCCCCTCAGAATCAAAAAGGAAAAAGGCTCAGACTGATCCCTGGCTTAATGAGGAGACGCCAGGGCCAGATTTATAAACGGAGGTGGAAAAAAGACATCAGATCTCCTTTGAACTTCTGCAGGAATCTTGGTCGTGGTACTAAAAATCAGTACGATCAGCCAGGAATAAGTAAAACTCTAATATTGTGGTTGAGCACAAAGGTAATCAACACAAGACAATTAACTCCTTGCTCTTTCTAAATGAGAATGTTTCACCCACCAAACCTTCAATTGACCTGTGTGTTCAGTTTCAGAAGTTTTTTGTTGACAAGATCACCCTTATCAGATCTAACATCACCTCAACGGGGTTGATGAGGTGAATTCAGGGATTATACCGCTATGCTCACTCCAGCCTATTGCACTAGAGTACATCAGCAAAATCATTTCAGGTATGAAACCCTCTGGTTCTTCATTGGATCCTCTTGTCCCAAGGGTGCTAATTGGGACTCTACCTGTGGTTGGCCCATTTCTTCTGGACATGATTAATCTCAGTCTGTCATCTAGGATAGTTCCTTCCTCATTTAAGCATGCTGCCATACATCCGCTGGGCTCAATCTTGAGAACTTAGCAAATTACCGTCCTGTCTCTACAGGGAGTGCAGAATTATTAGGCAAATGAGTATTTTGTCCACATCATCCTCTTCATGCATGTTGTCTTACTCCAAGCTGTATAGGCTCGAAAGCCCACTACCAATTAAGCATATTAGGTGATGTGCATCTCTGTAATGAGAAGGGGTGTGGTCTAATGACATCAACACCCTGTATCAGGTGTGCATAATTATTAGGCAACTTCCTTTCCTCTGGCAAAATGGGTCAAAAGAAGGACTTGAAAGGCTCAGAAAAGTCAAAAATAGTGAGATATCTTGCAGAGGGATGCAGCAGTCTTAAAATTGCAAAGCTTCTGAAGCGTGATCATCGAACAATCAAGTGTTTCATTCAAAATAGTCAACTGGGTCGCAAGAAGCGTGTGGACAAACCAAGGTGCAAAATAACTGCCCATGAACTGAGAAAAGTCAAGCGTGCAGCTGCCAAGATGCCACTTGCCACCAGTTTGGCCATATTTCAGAGCTGCAACATCACTGGAGTGCCCAAAAGCACAAAGTGTGCAATACTCAGAGCCATGGCCAAGGTAAGAAAGGCTGAAAGACGACCACCACTGAACAAGACACACAAGCTGAAACGTCAAGACTGGGCCAAGAAATATCTCAAGACTGATTTTTCTAAGGTTTTCTGGACTGATGAAATGAGAGTGAGTCTTGATGGGCCAGATGGATGGGCCCGTGGCTGGATTGGTAAAGGGCAGAGAGATCCAGTCCGACTCAGATGCCAGCAAGGTGGAGGTGGAGTACTGGTTTGGGCTGGTATCATCAAAGATGAGCTTGTGGGGCCTTTTCGGGTTGAGGATGGAGTCAAGCTCAACTCCCAGTCCTACTGCCAGTTTCTGGAAGACACCTTCTTCAAGCAGTGGTACAGGAAGAAGTCTGCATCCTTCAAGAAAAACATGATTTTCATGCAGGATAATGCTCCATCACACGCGTCCAAGTACTCCACAGCATGGCTGGCAAGAAAGGGTATAAAAGAAGAAAAACTAATGACATGGCCTCCTTGTTCACCTGATCTGAATCCCATTGAGAACCTGTGGTCCATCATCAAATGTGAGATTTACAAGGAGGGAAAACGGTACACCTCTCTGAACCGTGTCTGGGAGGCTGTGGTTGCTGCTGCACGCAATGTTGATGGTGAACAGATCAAAACACTGACAGAATCCATGGATGGCAGGCTTTTGAGTGTCCTTGCAAAGAAAGGTGGCTATATTGGTCTAACGCCAGTTTAATTAACTAACATTTTTAGTGTACAGCGCCTTGTTTGGTTGTAATGCCTTGTTGAATGCACTTTATAAATAAAATGGTATGGTATGGTATTGGTCGCTGATTTGTTTTTGTATTGTTCTTGAATGTCAGAAATGTATATTTGGGAATGTGGAGATGTTATATTGGTTTCACTGGTAAAAATAAATAATTGAAATGGGTATGTTTGTTTTTTGTTAAGTTGCCTAATAATTATGCACAGTAATAGTCACCTGCACACACAGATATCCCCCTAAAATAGCTAAAACTAAAAACAAACTAAAAACTTCCAAATACATTCAGCTTTGATATTAATGAGTTTTTGGGTTCATTGAGAACATGGTTGTTGTTCAATAATAAAATTATTCCTCAAAAATACAACTTGCCTAATAATTCTGCACTCCCTGTATTAGTTTTCATAAAGTGTTCTGCTAAACTGTTTTTAGATCTTTGTTTCAGTTGTTTCTGTGTTGTACTAAAATATGAATTCAAGCACTTCATATGTTTTGAAGGCTTTTATCAACAATTACATGACATTTATGCAAAGAGTCAGTATTTGCAGTGTCGGCCCTTCGTTTTCTGGACAGGACCTCTGCAATTCGACTGGGCACGTTCTCAATAAACTTCTGGGCCAAATCCTGACTGATAGCAGCCCATTCTTTCATAATCACTTCTTGGAGTTTGGGGGAGTTGGACGGACCTTAATAAGCAGTGACTTAAGTGAAGCAGGCAGGTCGCGCTAGAAAATTTCGTTTAAAATGACGTCATAAATCCCCCCCCCCCCCCCATCATTTTTATTTCTAAAATATGAAATAAAAACTCCCCATTTAATTTTCATTCATAGGCACCAGAACCTGCACTTCTAATATTTACCTCTCAACGTAGGACTCTTTCATAAAGGTACATGCACACCGGTAGTTTAACGGTTATTCATGGGGAAAAATCTGACATTTTTTTTTAATTAAAAAAAAATGTATCCAGCCCACCTCTCCAAATGTGTAAAATGTGCATCACAGCCGTTAGGCGCGTCGCGCGCACCGTCAGCTGCGTCAGCCCAAACAAGAGCAGAGCAACTAGAGACAGAATAGAGGATAATTCTGTCTGGATGTGGATGGAGATTACATTTTACAGCAGCCTGATCATCATTTAGATACGTAAACCATCACCTGGCTTCTAGTCCACGCTATCAGCATTATTTTAATTGGTGTGTGTGTGTGTGTGTGTGTGTGTGTGTGTGTGTGTGTGTGTGTGTGTGTGTGTGTGTTTTCCACTTCAAACACTGGTCTAACCAACCAGACCAGCGTGTCCAGTAACATATTAATGTTACAATTGAACAGTTTCACTTCATGTAGGCTAGGAACATTTCACTTGCCGTGGCCCGACCGCTTCTGCTCCACATGAACTTTGTGCGTGATCAAATGTCTCTACAGGTGCTTTCTGAGCTGAAGAGGCTATTCTGCCTCAGACTGGATGCGTCATGCGTCTCCATATTAGAGACGGGAACAAGCGCTGTTCAGCCAAAGTTTCATAATCAGTGAACATTTTTCCAAGTGACACGTCCCTCAGAGAGACCGGGTTTCCAGACCGCTTCAGTGGGAGGAAATCTTACCGCATGCGCTGCGGTTCTGCGCTGCGCTGCGAACCCCTCTACAGATCTTCAGCCCACTGTCCACCGTGGGCGCTCCGAGCCACGCTGAACACAGTGTCCAGTATAAAGCTCTGATGTTCTGATGGGAATCATTTCTTGATTGATTGATTTAGTTACCTCCATGATGTGCGTAACGATTAAAATGTCAGCTCATCCATGCGCATCAGTGTGCGTCGGGGTAATTCTTTCAAAACCACCAACATCCTTGAGTTTATCCGTCAAAATAAACAGTCGAATGGAAATATCTGTAACCTGTCATTTAACTGTTTTGCCTTCCTGTGAAGATTGTTGCAAAGAGAAGCAACTAAACTTGATTAAACCCAGAGCCACGCGCACTGCGCTGTACGTTGTGACTGTAAATGAGGGGGAAATGATTTAATCGGATCCTTTTCTTTTCAACATGGTTTAATGTAAAGTTTCATTCAGTACAAACTTTAGTTACACCAATCTAACGAGACAGAGCCTGGATTTGTATTCTGAACAGTTTAAACATGTTTAAAACGGAGACATGCGTGACGCATCTAAAATTCACACCTGCTCCGCTATTATGGAAATTTAACAAGATGAATAACATAAACTTATTTTAGGCACAGACAACATCCCCCACACTTTTGAAAATCTTGCAACGTGCCTGCCTCTATGGGCTACGTGGGTGTGCTAAATCATCCCACAAGTGAACTGGGCTTGAACCAGAAGAATCTATGCTAAATAAAAAAAACAACCACTTTTCCTCTCAGTTTTATACTCCCGTAATTCTCTGCTGCCCCGCCTAGGCGTGCTACTTCATCCGATAAATGGACTGAGCTTCAACTAGTAGAAGTCTTGCTAAACATCTCAAAAAGCAAAAATTGACAACGCCAAAACATTTTTAGAAATAAAACAATCTCAAGTACAAATTCTCTTTGTTCAATTGTTGGTTCACTCATTTTTTTCCTATCGCTTTTGCCCTCCAATATGGTGGACCCGTGTGATCAGGTGACGTAGGTGCAAAGGGTCAAAAAAGTAAACACAGCTTCACTAAAATCCCATTGTTGTGAAAAGGAATAATCTTTTGTATGACAAAAACAATGTTAGACTACCAAAAGGTTTCAGTGCACCATTCCCAACTGAACTGCATGTTTTCATGTACGATTTTAATGTCTTTTTTTCTTCAAAGCTGCAGGGCATGGAAACAAAGAGCGCGTGTAAGAGTGTAAACAGAATAGTAGTAAAGGTGTTTCAATGTTTATGCATTTATCCACCCAAAAAAACAAATTATATATTTACCTTTTTTATTCTCATCTCCCTCTCCGTCCATGAGTCTAGAAGAATTAAGAAATAAATGGAGATGAGATCATCGAATGAAACGTCAACACGAAGTCGACGACTTTAATCTGTAGCTCCTGTCGCTTCTTTCTCGGGATCCCGTTTTAAATTTCCAGAGCATCCTGCAGCCCAGACAAGCTGCTGTGTGTTATTTGCATTCTTGATAAACTCGGTGGAGGTCATGATGAATAACAAACTCATGCAAATCCAACCATCCTAAGGAGGTTCCTGTGTATACACAACACTTCAACTGAAAATCTTTGGTCTAAACATTGGAATATCACACAATTATTTTTGTTGCTCCCCGTAAGTTATCAGCAAGTTTCAATAAACTTTTTTTTTTTACATGTAAAACTACACGACTTCAAAACATTCAGTTTAGTTCGAACCTCATCCACCTCTCACAGAAACCAACTCCTACCCGCTGCTCTCCTCCACCTCATTGGCTGTGATGGGTTGCGTCCTGAAGCGCTCGCTGGTCTTACGTCCACCATTAGATCCACCGGGATGGTAACGCCGGGTGCGCCTTCTTCCTCCTTCAGAGGCTGGCTTCACAGCCAGGTCCAGAGAAGATGTGGACCGCCCAGTGTCAATGCTGCAGAAAAGGAAGGAGGACTGGCTGAGATGAAAGCTAAAGTTTCTACAAAGCAACACAGTCTGGATTACACACACACAGCTGCAGGAGAGCACTCCTCAGCTGGTCCACCGACACCAGAGTGTGAAGCTGTGGAGTGTCAAGTTCAACTTGGACAATCTCATTAAGCACACGGGCAGAGTCCAGACAACCCTGTCTGTAGGGGGTGGCAGTGAGGGCCAGCGGGTGAGGATGCAAGTGGGAGAGGGGGCGCAGAGCTTCGAAACAAACAATAATTCTGAACCTTTCCATCAAAATGCTGCAGAGACGAAGCAATGAAGGCTGCAGTTTTTATTTTGAAAGCCTCCTTTCAGTAGCAGAGCTTAGATAGCAGGAAAAGCGTTGAGCTGGAGACAGCAGTCACAGAAATAGAGTCAGAGTGGCTTTAAAATTCCCTGCTGGTTTTAATCTGTTAACAGAGCTGCAGAGAAACGGGTGAAATAAAGCTTCTGCTGCTGCTGAAATGAAGCTCATATGAATGCAAATGCCTACTGCACATACATTGTCCTTGTTCTGCTCATTTACACGTTAATGTGTAGTCTGAGAGTTTTAAAGTAGCACTTTAATTATGAGACAAAGTCCCACAGTCATCACACACTGGTGAAATTCATCGCTGCATCTGACCCATCCTTGTGGAGGGGAGCGGTGAGCTGCAGCAGTGAATGCGCTCGGGAACTATTTGGTGGTTCAACCACCCAATCCAACCCCTTAAAGCGGAATGTCAAGCAGGGGGGCATTGGGTCCCATTTTTAAAGTCTTTGGTATGACCCGACCAGGAACTGAGCCCCGATCTCCCAGTCCCAGGGCAGACACTCTACCACTAGGCCACTGAGCTACAAGTCATTTTGGTTTGTTCTGACTGGTCAAAAACTGCAAAAGTCATGCACTTTTTTCAATCATAAGACCAAAAACAGGAAAGTGCATTAAAAATGTGCCCTCCTCAAGTTTAGGCAGAAAATCCTAAATTACAAACTAAACATTCAACTTTATTTAGCTAGTTTAAAGTCTCAGTCCCCCCCCCCCCCCCCAATATATCAGTTGTGGTTTCTCTCTAATATGAATGAATGCTTTGCGAGTCGTTCCCTTTGGGAAAAAAATAAAAATTAAAAAAAGACATGTTTCAGGAAGTAGGAGTAAGCCGGAAGATAGGCGGGCAGAAAACAAAAGGAGAGCAAGTTCTAATATTAATATTCATGAAATGAGAACATCTCGTCTGTGATTGGCTACACTGCAATGCAACTTTTCTGCTGCCTCCATTCATTCTTCTTTCTGTAAAAAAAAAGGCTGCGTTGATGTGTCATCTCCACAAATGATAACAAACGCAAACCTGTTTTACCATATTGTGGAACTGCTATAGCTAAGGGTTAGCTTCTACTAGCCGAGGCGTGCTCTGCTCTCTTGTGGCTGCTAAATCAACACAGCCTTCTGTGGTCGCAAGTCAAGGTGTGAGTCCATGAATGCAGATTTTGCCTGTGATGTAGCCGAGTCTGGTCTTTTCTGAACCTTTCATTTCTTTTCAGCTGCTAATGGAGGGTAGAAAACTAGTGAAACTAATGGGCCATTCCCATCTGTACCGGGTCGGCCCGGGCCGGGTAGCGTAGGTTGTTTACATATCTGGGTGGCCTGGTATTTTTCCGGGCCAACCAAGGCTCATCCTCAGCCCTCTTCTCGAGGGGGTCTGCTTCAGGCCGACCAGGGCCAACACACCCACTGCTGACAGCAAATTCACACCTTCCATTAGAGCAAGCCTCTGATTGATGGGTAGAATCAGCCCACATGGGCTTAAGACAAGGATGTGTGGAATCAACCGGGCCAGGCTGGGGCCGACTGGGGCTACCCAGCCCGGGCCGACCCGGTACAGATGGGAATGGCCCATAAGAGTGACTGATCATATTTTTTTTTTCAGTGAATGAGACCTTTAAAGCTGCAATCCAGTGTTTTTCCCCTTTCAGAAATTATTATTTTTCAGAAATCCATAAAAGTGATGTCCCTGTACTGTTACAAAATATCTTCAATGTCAAGTTGTTTTTGGCTAAGCCTGCTCCTGGTCTTACAGAGCCCCATGCAATTTGAACGGAGCACCACCAAGCATTAGCTAATAGCGTTGGACAACCATTTATGTACAGATGTCAATCACAGAGTCTGCATGAGCAAGTTGAGGCTGTTCTGTAGAAGCCAAGAGGTAGCATGTAAACTGAACAACAGAGGGCTGCAAAGGGATCCCAGAGGGACTCCACAAGTGAAAGGGGCTGCAGAGGTAAATGAATCTCCTAAATAAAACAGAAAAACCCTTGTCTTTAAGCCAAGTCAGAAATTGGACTTTGTTGGATAGTAGAGCTGGGTGATAGACCAAAATGCACCAATACTGAAATTTAGGACTCACGGACATCATTTTGTCCATGTTGTTAAATTCAGCACTTTTAAAAACTGAAAAGGTGTGTGTAGGTTGGCAATGCTCATGTCGCTTTAAGATGCTGTGCTACAAACCTACATGCTCTCCCTGGGCCAGGTCATATTCTATAATGCTGCTCATCCAAGCTATGCAGATGACAGCCCGATCTACCTAGCTCTGTCACCTGGTGACTGTGGTCCCCTAGACTCACTCTGTCAGTGTTTGGAGCAAGTCAGTGACTGGATGCAGCCAAACTTTCTGCAGTTGGAAGTTATTGCTCAACTTGGCTAAAGAGGTATAAAAACTGTCCAAACAATTGCACTTAGACAAATGCATGTGGGCATTGACCCTGCCCTTCTGTACCCTTGATCCATACTTTGCCAATGCAGGCTTCAGCAAAGGGTGGTACTTGCAACCCATTACTACGAGGGAATTGTGAGAATAAGATGGAGGAATGGTTCAAGTGCCCTTAGCAAAAACACGTATTTAAGTTTGAAGAATGAAGTAAGAATGACATCCCTGTGATAAAAGTTGGTTTCTGCAGCCCCTTGTTCTAAGCAAAAAGTTATCATCTCACTGCCGTTCCGTGAGTTTCATGGCTGTTGCCAGTTCCAGATCCAACACCAGAAGATTCTAGATGGCAAGCGAAGAAGAGTCAAACGCAGTAAGTTGATAAGTAGATAAATACATTGTATAACCACTACTTCTCATGGGAAGCACCAGCGGCACAGAAGCAGCAGCAGAACGGTCTGCTCGTGAGCTTTACTGCGTGCCAGTACACACCAGGAGAGTCTCAGCCGCGGAGCGGTTTCTCCACCGCCCTCCTCGCTGGACTCGTGAGATCATGAGATCCCTCGAGACTTCAAAAGTCATGATTTGTTTACGCCATCCACCAACAGAAGCCAACAGTTAAACCAGAAAGAAGATGATCACGCTTGATATCGCTGTTTAATGTCATACATGTTCCCCTCGACTGCCAGGAAGAAAAACACACCACTGCACTGTCATTAGGTCACATGTATTGACGTAATCTACACCGATACAAAATCGCATTGCTGCGAGTCTTATTTTGAAAATTACTGGAGATTTTCCACAGAAACCATGTGATTTCTTGTCTAGCCCTATGTTAAATGCGGCAAAAATAGAATCCAACCCTATGTTTGTCGGCGTGGCTCACTGCTTCTGAGTCGCCCCTGAAAGTTTCTGCATCACAGCTGGTCTGAATCACCCCCATATGCTAGGATGGATTTGACTTGAAGCGCTGGCGTCCTGTACCACTGATGCTTCCAGTGTGAAGTAGGGGTAATTCATTCATAGAGGGCCACATGCTGCAGTATGGGTATCTGGGACTAGGCCAAAGACTTGGGTTAGACATCCTGGTGTCATAATTGATTCAGACTTGAGTGCCACTGGTCACATTAAAGGCCAAGTTAACTCATTTAGTTAAATACTCATTTACATTTGATTCCTGCTTTAAGCTTCGAATGATCGGCAAACCAGATGGCCTCAAGTTTTCTGCTAAAAACAATTATAAAAAGGTCTAAAACTAAAGGGAATTTGTCAAGTATTTTCTGAACAATTGACAACTTAATAATTTACTTTTTAAACTATCATAAATATCAAAGTTATTTATTTATAAATATTTGCAACACATCTATTTGCAATTTTTTTTCTAATTTATGTTTGGTTTCAATAATAAAACTGCACACTTTATCCATTCTGTGTCTAACTGAAACAAGTTCTTGCACATAGGATTTGCATTTAAAACATTTTAATAAAATTTCTCGAAGCTCTTTTGAAGTTTAGCTAAATCTAGCCCTTTGTGGCTGCTGGCCTTCAGAAGTGGCGAAACCATGGCTCACCTTCTCAGCGAGTTGTTCTCCACTGGATCGTCAGCTCCATTTATAACCTCTTGTGTTCGGCCGTTTACTCTTTCACCGAGGTCATCCGAGTTCATCTGCCCTACGGGGGTTTGGATCACCTCTTTCCCGTCTCTCCTCACCCATTTGGAGGGAAGCTCCTTGATGCTGCCATAGCGTTCAGCCAATTCTCGCCTCCTCTCGGCTTTGTAGCGGGCGATCCGCTCAGCTCTGGCCTCCAGAACTGGATTCTCAGCTGCATCCATGTCTCTCTGAAGGATTCAGATATTTATCGGCTCTTCAGACAATCGCAGGGCATGTGGGGCTGAAGGGCAAACGAGGTGGTTGTCCTCTGCTTCTCAGTTATGTTAAAACACAGGAGACAGTTGTTAAATCCAGCTTCCATCAGACCTGAAAGCGTTTCAGTTTGTCCATCAGTCGCTGCTCAGTGGGTTCCTCCTGAAAAGTGTAAAAACAGGTCCAACATTTAAAGGTTTGATTTCCTTCCTCACTCTTTAAATTGAATATTATATCCATTTATTTTAATGGTAAACCTTTTGAGTGAAGTCAAATATTTCCAAATCAATTCAACGTTCTGGAAATTAGAGTTGCAGCAGCTGTGATGCAAACAAGCCAGCTTTTTGTTCTGTTTGCTTCCACACTTCAATAAAAAACTTCTGAAGGACCAGTTAGTCGAGATAAACACACATGATGGCATGGTCCCATCAAATAAGTGAGAAAAGTGCAAACGTCAGCCATCGTTCCAGTGCGGTGAATAATTTATTTTATTAACTACTTTTTTCTGAACTGAATCCCACCCATTTTCCTTGTTCTTGCGTCTGTGTAAGATGATCAGCACCAGCCTGCAGTGTCGTGCAAGAATCTCCTCTTGCACTGAAACCCAACACCTCAGCTCAGCTCCACTCAGTCCAAACCTCGATGCCATCCAGTCTGCAGGCTCAGTCATCTTCTCCTACATGAAACGTATCTAAAGCAGCTGCATCGCCCATTTAATGTCAGAACTGGACGTTATCGAAGAGACGCAAGTGCCTAACAACTAAATGTGTTTAAAACACACACTGAGGGAGTTGTTTGTGTTTCTAGGCAACGTGGACAAACAAGAATAGTCCCTGTAAACGTTTAAGAAGTATGGCACAATTTATATTTAAAGAGCCAGTCAACCCCTACCTTGGTCTAACTCCACTCCCACTTCATGTTTGAAAAATGCAACAAATGCTGTTGCCTGGCAGACCGAGAAGGCAGAGCTGCTAACAAATACACACACACAGGCTCACGAGAGCATTGTGACATCATAATGTACCAGTTTACATCATAGCATACCTCTTAGCCAATAGCGGTGGCAGATTTAAATTAAAATACAGTGCAGAGTTTTTACCTGACAACGGCACAACACTGACAGTTTTAGGCAGAATATTTAAATTTTAACTAAGACGCACTGAAGTGCCAAATTATTGACGACACGTGTCTGCAGCACGATTAGACACACATTTATTTCGTTTATCAGCAAAAAAAAGTTTATTTGGGGGTGGCTTGTTCTTTAACAAAAGCAACTCATTTTATTCAAAACTGCAATCAAATATTCCTCATTTCTAATTAATCTTTCCAGAAAACTAATAGGGTTTCTTTTTCAATCATTCTCAATGCAGTCACGTTGCAAGGTGTGCGTGTGTGCGGTGAAGAAAATAAAAGGCAAAGTGATAATAAAAATGTACAGCAGACGAACGATCTTTGAAAATTGTATAAACCAGAAAAGGGCCAACACAAGACACAAAACAGCATCCTCAAACAATACTTCTGTTTTAAAATATTACAAAATGTCCCGCTCCTTAGAAGTAAATAAGCCAAGTTTAGAGGAGGGGGGAGACTTTGGCTCAGGACTGTATGTCAAAACATAAAATGTGTGTTTGTGTCCGTGTGCTTTTCCGAACTGTAGACGTCAGCATTCCTGCAGCAGGAAGCACAATGGAGCAGGAACAAAGAGTGGTGAGCCGCTGGAGTCGGAGCAGCAGATGGATCTGCAGAGGGGCTGGATGGATCTGCTGGCAGCAGAATTCAACTCAACTTTTGATTTTCCTCATCAGTTCTCTCAGTCGGAGCAGCAGCTGGTCAGATCTGGCTAAAGAATCTATGAGATAATTCAAATCAGATCTTTGTTGGAACACAGCGAGCAAAGCAGTGGATGCAGTGATCCCTGCATGGGGAAAACAGCTCAGCTAATCCTGTTGTCACTTTCTAACAGCCATCCATCACAAGAGGTTTAAAAAGAGTTTTTCATTTTCCTTTCTGGTAAAACAAGATCAAATATTAAGTGTAGCCAAATTCTCACAGAGTCATGTGATGAGCTAGAGGATTGTGGATTGGAGAGTGGGAGAATGCCACTGAGGCTCAACAGGGATCACGGGCTTCTAATCCAGCAGCGGCAGTGGACCCAAGCTTGAAATACACCCAGTGAATGAGATGTTGCTGAGGATCAGGGGTCTGAGCTTCTACACTGCAGTGACATTCAAACTAGGTGGTCCATTAAGGGCAAACATATGGAAATACGTGTACAAATAAAACTATTATGACTTTTATATTGATCATTTCAGAGTTTGGGAGGAGAAAGTTTAAGAAGTTCAACATCCAGCAGTAACAGACTAAACCAGATTAAAAGGTTACCAAAGAGTAAGTCTCCAGCCAATTACACCTACCCTGCTGAGCCACCTGCAACAAACCTCCTCATGAACCTGTAACTCAAACCTCGGGTGCTTTTTCTACACACCAAAGGAGACATTTAACGACTCGTTTACACAACTTTCTACTGCATCATCTGTGAGTACGACAGTTTAACTCTGCAACAGACTGGAGAGCTGACACCAAGGGTCTCTAAAAATTAACGCACTAGCTTCCACTGACAGGAAGTGCATTATGACAGATCGCTTGAATTATTAAGTTGAATTCAGCTCACATTAAACTAGGAACACATCCTTTCAGTGTTAGGAGTTTCTAAATAAGAGAATGGTAGTATTTATAAATTATAAACAGATGGATTGAACGCGTTCCTAACAGGAAACCGTGCGTAATTTGCGTAATTTGTGCGTAAACATGTCCTTTTGACAAAAAAAAAATTGTCCTATATAAATAGTTTACACAATTTTGACAAGAGAGCTAGTTGGAATACCCGAACTGGACGCTGACCTTCTCATTCTGAGAAACAAGGACTTCTCAGGTCAGATCAACAAGTGACGCATCGTTTCCGATGACTAAACATGAGAAACACCTGCATTCTGTCTGAGCTGCGTTTTTTTACGTGTTCTTAATAATTAAGACATAAAAGTAGTCAAAATGTATGAGTAAAGGTGGTACTTACGCACAGAGCTCCGTGTTCCTCCCTCCGCTCGGTTCAGTTCCTTCTGCTGCCACTCGATCCAAATGTGGTCACGGACTGGCAGCTGTGGGTGGCTCTCCGAATTAAGAGGACGGGGTATAAATAGAAGGCCGAACCTCGGAAGCCTCGTGCACTCTGGATAAACTGAGAGGAAGGCTCGTCACATCGAGGTGCGCTTTCGGTCCACTCTGATGTCTTCTACACAAACTCACCTCATGTCGACTCCAGATTCTCCTAAAATGTTATCCAGATGACGTTTATCAGTATATAACTTTATGATCAATTAAAGTTGATCAAGATGCACCTGCACACGTGGTTTCCTGTGAACAAAGCATTGTAAAAGATTGAAATGGTAATAAAGAAAATACATTGAAAAACGAATATCTACCACCATGCAGGCTTCAGACAACACATTTATATAACTTCATTCAAACATCTAAATAATACAATGTTCAAGTAGCTGCAACTGAACTCCAGCTGCTCAAGAGGCAGAAGAGCAAAACGCAACTTCATCAAAACCAGTCCAAAGCAGAATTAGGTATCCATCCATCTGGTTTTTGGACCTCAATAGGATCACGGAGAGAGCTGGTGCCATCTTGGACAAGTCACCAGTCCATCATGGGGACAGAATAAAACACCCATACTCACCTAGGGTCAAGTTTGGGTCTAACCACACGTGCAGGAAAATTATGCAAACAAGCAGGATTCAAACCTGCCAACTCTTTGCTGCGAAGCAAGAGTGCTGCTGACCGCACCACCCTGCAGCCCTCAATGCATTTAGACGTGAAAACACATATAGGAATGACAGGTGTAATGTCACGAATGGCCTGATTTTGAGATCCCACAGGTCAAGATCTACAGCCTGGCTATGACACAACCTACAAGATTTTCCACTCACAGGAGACTGGAAGTCTGCATGTAGTGCCTTTAATCAGAGCCTGCCTTCCTCACACCAGCTGCCCTGACAGAGATAATAATAAAATAAACAATAACAGTCTTTCCTCCAAGGTCCACCACAGAGGAACTCTTTTAAACGAACTCTTTTATTCCCAGAAGAAATAAGATTTTATAATTATAAAAATTGAAATGTCCATTGATCTGTTTAATGATACATATGCTTAGCATGTTTACTGGATGAGGTCATCACCATTTGCACACTCATACAAAAACAAAGTTAAGTTAAGTTAACGCATGTGTAAGGGGTTAATTTACATCTAATTAATGGACCATAAGACATGAGATTCCATACCAAATATGAAATCAACCTTGTGGACCTCTGGGTTATTTTAACCAGAAGATTTGAACTTTTTATTGCAGGGATTATGTAACACTTGTATTAACTGAGAGACAAGAGAAGAGAGAGTCGCCTTTAAAACGTTCAAGATTTATTTCTAAACAATTTTAAACAAGACTAACTCTAAATTCTAAGTGAACGGATGAATCTAGGTGTGAATGAGACGTGAGATGAATGGTGTATGTGTGAGTGATGTGGTCATCAGAACTCTCGTATCCGGAGAAGCAAGTCTGAATGATGTGATGTTTTGCTCTTAAGCTATGATCGGAGTTTCATAAACACATGAGACGCCATATTTGTCGCTCTACACATACCCTTAGGATGAGACCTCCGTACAGATCCAGAATGCCAGGTCCTCTGACCCCCCTTTCGGTACCGGAGCCGATGAAACAGCATCAGCAGTAAGACAGACTAGTCTTTGGATTGTCTCCAGGTAAAAAGTGAGTTGGTTGACAGTGTCACATGGCCCCCCTTTGAGTCAGTGAGTTCAGCTTTTATTCTGAAAGGAACCGTTGCTTGGTTGGTAAAATGCAACAGATTTTATCCAGCTTGTTGGTTCCTTGCTTAAAAATGAAGTCCGGGTGGCTGGTCCGACACTTCTCTTAGCATGCGGTGAACTGCAGAGAGCTCCAGTAAACTGTTGAGAACTCAGAGAACCGTTGAGAACTGAACTTAAGATGGCGTGGGGACTGGTTTTATTAATCTGGATGTTTTGATTTCTGGTCGAATCAAAGTTGGCAGATTTATAAACACCACAGAGACTATGCCACGGTTCAGAAAGGAAGGTTCTGACTGGATGAGTTAAAGTTAAAGTCCCATTAGTTGTCACACACACTGATGTGTGTGCGAAATTTGTTCTCCGCATTTGACCCATCCCCTGGGGGAGCGGTGAGTCGCAGACACAGCCGCGCTCGGGAACCATCTGGTGGTTTAACCCCCCAATCCAACCCCCTTAATGCTGAGTGTCAAGCAGGGAGGCATTGGGTCCCATTTTTTCCAAAGTCTTTGGTATGACCCGACCAGTAATCGAACCCTGATCTCCCAGTCTCAAGGCGGACACTCTACCACTAGGCCACTGAGCTGGTAAACAATGTGTCATGCGTTTACATTACGTGTCGTCAGCATGTCCAGTGCAGCTAAATGAAAGTCATATTACTCATTAAAGCATATTAATCATAACATTGTCATTTCACAGATTGGTCAACATTATCGTATTGACTAACACTTTGTTTGATTAACTTATTAAAAATAGAGTTCTTTGATTTATTAAAAGGAAAGAGTCCTTTTTCATCATTCTTCTCTTGAGCTGGAAAGAAAGCAGTTTAGAAGCAGATGCATGACCTTGAGGCAGTCTCATGCAGATTAGTTGTGTCAGAGGCATCTGTGGAGAGAGGGTAAATAGCCTTCTGTGGAATAGCTCCTTCATCACGTTACACATGACACATAGTTAACCTTTTACCCAGATTCAGAGTCTCCGCATCAACGAGGGTGCGTCTCTGAGATGCTTGGTAATATCTTCAAACTTGTCAACCTGTGGTTGGCTAGTCAATCATAACATCAGTCCATTAAAACTAGCCAGCTCTGGTTTTTCCCTCAGTTCAACAGTTCGAGGGTTCTAGAGAAAAGCTTCAGACCGGCCATCTGAGCGAAAGCCTGTTTAACCAGGATTTTGACACGTTGTCAAAATCTTAAACCTTTGTCGCACCTGCGAAGCTGAGAACAACAAGACAGTATCTGCAGTACAAGCTAACACAAACTCCTTCAGAGTTATTTTTAAGACGCTCCGTTTCATCTAACGTTGGGACCCGGAGACACCCCAGGACTGATTTGGTCGCATCGAGGTTTTTTCCACGAACCTGGTGCAGTGGAGTCGTCGGCTCCTGGACATCTCGGATCCAAACGGGGGTCTTCAGAACGGGTGAGGTAGAACACAGCGAGATAGCGTCTGTATGTGGTTTTGATAATAACACCTTTCTAGCTTATTTGCAAAACAAATTCTTTCCATCCAAAACTCAGATTTCTGAGATACGAAGACTCTGAATACATCATAGTCACACATAAGTTCCAGACACCATCCTTAGTTCCATCCACGCACAGTAAATAATAGTTTAACCAATTTGTCAAGTCTTAATTGTTTGTGAAATAAATTCTTAAATTTTATAAACCTGACTGTTTCTTGAATCCAACGAAGTGTGTACAATCCCTAAATGAATAAAAGAATCCTAGAATCTTCTGACTAAAGCAATAAGACCAAACAGGTGATATTCTAGTTAAATAGAGTATTGCTCAAGTAGTGTTAATAATAGAACCACTTTTCACTGATCTTTTTGCATTTAATAATATAAATAACTTTTAAAGCAATTCACTTAACCAAACATACTGTTTATCTAACATTACACAGAATAGTTACTCTTCTTTTTAGTTGCTGCAAGTGTTCAATGTTGTGTTACTGCCACCTTTTGGAGAAAAACACAATTGCAATCCTTTTTCTAAAAGTTGTGGTGTGTGTGTGTGTGTGTGTGTGTGTGTGTGTGTGTGTGTGTGTGTGTGTGTGTGCGTGCGTGCGTGCGTGTGTGTGTGTGTGTGTGTGTGTGTGTGTGCGCGTAACACAAAATAAGTCATCTTAGATCTGAATGAATTAAACGCAGACTCAAAATAAGTTATGATAAAAGGACGAACAACTAAGTCCTTCAGGGGTACTTCTGAGTTAAAGAATGCTCATGAAATACGTGTGTGGAGTAACCAGGTAGGTAGGTTTTAACGTTGCAAATGTGCAACGCCTGCCTCCAGAGGGTTAAAAGAGTCCACTGATCTGAGGCTCAGGGAGAGAGTTCCAGGGTGTTTCTCAGTGCCAAGCAACCTCGCGTTGATGTCTTGGTCCCACCCCGGTTGCTTGATTAGGAGATACGTCGTCAGGAACCGCCAAGGCATGTTCAAATGTTCATGTTCTACCGAGGCATCTGTTCTCCGTTTGTTAGCCGTTTAGCTAGCTGAGCAAGGATACACAGGATTTAATTTAACCAATATATACACAATTTCAAAAGTAAAAAGCTCCTTGTATATTTATATTGAAACGTAAACGTATGAAATATAATGTTATCTCCCGTGTCACGTGATGCAATTCTTCCATTTAACCGTTTTCTTTGACCAAGGAAGGACAGTGTCCTCAGCAACGCGCCTGGCCTGGCAAGACATCGCCTTGCCAGGCCAGGCGCCTTGACATTGAGAAACACCTCCGAAGTCTGGGGACCACAGCAGCAGATGATCTGTCACCTTTGGCCTTTAGCCTGGTGCTGCACCACTCAAACCCCTCTACCTCTCTTTTTGTCTTTTTCTACAGACTTTCTGATCAAAACACTTCCCCCTTTCCCTTCCACACTAAAACTACTACTTCCAGTTCAACATGCCAAATAAATCAAAAGAAAAAACAAGTTGAGTTTGTTTTAGAAATGCTTCATTGATGAACAGTGTAACATACATAGAAAAATACCTTGTATGATCTGTAACAACAAACATAAATACAGGTGCCTTCTGTAACAATCGCACCATAAATACCTCAATTAGGAAAAGAAGGGGGAAAAAAACATAAAATCTTCACAAATAAGGTGCTGCACTTACTTCTAAACTCCAAATAAAGCAGAAACAACAAAACTCACTAACTCAAAAGTGCTCATAATGTTCTGTAAGTATCATAAAACCAGAACTCTTGTTTTAAACAGCAAAACTCAACTTTAACAGATCTCTGCATTTAGTGAGTACACACATACCTGAAGAAAGACCGAAAGAACAACTCGGCCACTCCCGTCACTTCAACACAAAACATGTTCAACAAACTGAGTTTTAGAAAAATATCAAAAATAAAGATTTGTGCCACGACTCTGTTCTTGAGTTGAATTACTTCCTAGAAACGTTGAACCTGACCAGCTTCTCATGATGTTGCTGATTAAAGTTTTAGCAGCCAGCTTAATGAGCCATGACCGGAGAGAATTTCATGGCACAAACTACCTGATCATTCTTCCTGTTGAATCTCAGAGCAGCAGCTGACCTCCTTCTGCTCCTCATCCAACAAAATCTTCAGTGCATCACAAAGAACGGGTGAACCAGGGCTTTGGCAGCTGAGATCCGATCACGAGGACTGAATATCAAAAGTTTCTGCAGATAAAAATATGTTAAATGCTAACAGTATCACTGTGACTTCAAACGCTACAGTTCCTCTTGACTGGGACTGATCCGTTTTACTGTAAAATGCTCAGATTGTAGAGGACACACACGGCGCTGAATTAGAGAAATGAAAACACAGATGAGCTTACAGACAGCAGGTCGTTCCCGTCTGAGTCCAGGTTGGGCAGCAGCTTGGTGCAGGCCCCTTTTGGTCCCCAGCTTTCTGAGTAAGTGATGGGACTGTCCCGAGGCCAGTCGTCCTCGCTGGGCAATCCAATCAACCTGAGGAAAGAACAGGGATTGAACGATCAGCTGCACAGATCCAGGCACGACCGACAGTAACAATATCAGATGGAGGCTGAAATAAAAGCACAAAAGGACAAAAAGACATTTTGGTTTCAGTAGAAGACAAGAATTAGGATTTAATACTTTAAAGTTGATGGAAAAATATCTTCTTTTTATTACTTGTAATAATTAATTTTTCAGTAAAGGACAAACATAATAGAAGACTATTTCTGAAGAAATATTGAACAGTGCTAATGCTAACGCTGCTGGCCAAAACTCTATCTTTCTAATGATCCAAAGGAAAACAAAATATCAACGTTTTTATAAATAAACTGTGTAAAAAGTGTCAAGAAAACCAATCCCAACATAAAATGTCAAAGTTGCTGTCTGTGGCTCATTAAGGCTAATATTGTACTTGTATAAATAACTTCAGCCCCAAATCTACTTTTTGCTGATAGGCTGTTTAAATAAATGTCTAATAATGCTGTAGAAATGTGTGGTCATTATTTTGGCATCTTCAGGTTAAAATTTTGCCTTACATTGAATTTGAATCAGCCATGATGTTTAGCTAAGAGGTGCCAGCCGGCGTTGCCGGGTGCACTGCACTGGACTGCAGCCTCCAGCTGGTTCAGCCACTCGTGAGAATCAGAATCAAAAGGTTTTTGTTGCCTTGCGTGTGAGAAATCACAACATTAGGAAATTGCTGCGGTACTTGGTGCAAAAAAAATAAAAAATTTAAAAAAAGCAAAAATAAGAAATAAGAATGTAAGCACTATAAAATAATAACAGGGAGGCAATAATTAGAGAAATGGCTACCCAATACAAGACAGTGTAGGTACTGATCAGAGCGGAACAGTCAGGTGCAAACACAACACAGGGTCATGTGACTGCAACAAAGCGACTGGAGTGGGCAGCCCTACAATTGTCAATCATGACAGTTCATGCCAGATGAGAGCGAGTCAAAAAGACTACTCAGGGTGAGACGGGTCAGCTGTGATCCAACCTGCATGCCTCAGGTGTACAGGTCCTGTATAGAGGGGAGTTTGCAGGCAATGACCTTCTGAGCAGAGCGTACAACACTCTGCAGCCTCTTCTTGTCCCTGATATTGGCTCCAGTATACCACACAGTGATTGAAGAGATGAGAATGGACTCAATGACTGCCTCGTCAACTGTGCTGGTAGGTTGAATTTCTTCAGCTGTCTCAGGATGTACATCCTTTGCTGGGCCTTTTTTGTGACAGAGGTGATGGTGGGCTCCCACTTGAGGTCCTGGGTGATGGTGGCGCCCAGGAAGCGACAAGAGTCCACCACCGATGTGAGCCGATATAAAATGATAAGGCTCAGAGCTGCTTGCCTCTTAAAAAAAACTTACTTTTCCCTTTCTTCTAGTGATTGGGTTGGAGAGAAAATCCTCCAGTGTGCTGAAGTTTCTCTGCTCTGACTAGGGATGGGTACCAATTCCCAGTACCTACGCATCGATACCATTACTTAACCATACACATTTTCGATACTTTTGAGTGTTTAATAATTTTTTGAATCTCAAATATGTATTTGTTCTCAATACATAACCATATTTGATAAATATCATGATAAATAACATACTAACTATTTTACCATTGTAGTGTTGTACAAAATTCTTCAATATGAAAACCTTTAACCACAACTGTTTCTAAATGATGCAAAAACAAAACCAGTTCCACGTACTCCTAATCCTCTTCTAAGCCCTCTGAAATAACTCTGATGAGGAGACCATGTATTATACACTACAAATGAAACTAAAGCCAACTTCGATACCATACAACAGATTGTATTTTAATATTGTGGTGATTCACAAACTAAACCCAGCTCTATGTACTCCCTTTCCTTCTGGACAAACTGTGTAATGGGTAGGTCTTTGTAGTTTTAAAGACTGCAAATTAAACCAAAGCAAACATCTTTGCTGTGAACTCAATTTACTGTGCATCCTCATTCCTTTTGCCGTTCTTTTTCAAACTGTTGGTTTTTCCCCACTCGGACGTTGGAAATTCCGAGGAGAAAACGAACGCACCATTAGCTGATAGCAATGTCAACGCAAGCTAATATATCAAGCTAACGTTATCTTAAACTGTTTATTTTGCTGCTGGAGTAGAGCAAGACAATGATGCCTCACACTTAGATCATTGTCGCTGTTTTCATCATCACTCAATCGCCCATTGCATTTAGCTTTAAACATTGCATTAACTTTAAAGCGTATTCGCTTTTTTCTAGTTGGAATTTCGGAGTTCCGAGGAGAAAACAAATGCACCATTAGCTGAACGGAAGCTAAAATATCAAGCTAACGTTATCTTAAATATTTCATTTACCTACCGGAGCACATTAAGATGATGTTGCCAGATCATTGTCGCTGGTTTCATCATCACCAGCTACTCATCCCACTTAGTGAAGTGGACCCAAACTTCTGAGTGCTTCCTCTCTGCCATGCAAGATGCTTGCTCTGTTTACAGCTCGCCCACAGTGACCGAAGATATTACGTTCTTTTGCCGGTGCTGTCGTCTATCTTGGCAATTTGCTGTCTCGCAAGTTCTCGTTATGAAGGACAGGTACCAAAACAAGGCACCGTTTCATATGACGTGAATCGGTACTCAGTCGGCATGGAATTTGGTCGGTGCCTTAAAAAGTACCAAATTCCATCTCTACCTCGGAGTTGCTGCCTCAGCACCACACTCTCAATCCACCTGGCAACACCTCCTTTAGGTGCAATCTTCACACAGGAAGTGTGGGTGGATTAAGACTTTGTCAGGGGGCAACTTTTACTTTAAGATCATCATGATAACTTAGAATCTGTGTGTCTAACTCCCTGACAGCAAGCCCAATGGGAGACTGACAGGAACTCAAACTAAAACTGAACCTCAAACAGCTGCTGGGTTAAAACCAGAAGTGGCGTTAAAAAAAACTTCTGTGAGTAGCAGAAGGCTCTGATGGTCATATGGGTGAAATTGTATGCTCCTACAGGGTTTATATAGGAGATATGGTTAATAGTCTGTGTTTGATATAGCACTTTCTAGGGTTCTACAAGATGACCATTGACACATTGCACAAGGAGGGCAAGACACAAAAGGTCATTGCAGAGGCTGACTGTCCACAGAGCTGTGTGTCCAAGCACATTACGGTAATACACTCTTTTTCCAAAGTCAAGTTTTGACCCATGCAATTTTTAACCATCCAAAAATAATATTACGCTATATTAAATTGACACTGGTTGAGCTCTAGGACCAAGGGGAAAAACAAAGTTTGTGTTGAAGCCTGTTTCCCATTAGAGCATACTGTAAAGATACCTACCCCCCCCCCCCGTGCCCCCCCCCCCCCCCCCCCCACTTCTAAAGTGAAAATTACGTCCATGATAGAGAAGCAAAGGGAAGGACAAGATGTGGTACAAAAAGCGTACAAGCAATAGAGATGACCACCCTGGAGAGGAGTGTGAAACAAAACCCATTCAAAGAGTGGGCTGCAGCTAGAGTCGGTGCTTCAAGAACCACCACACACGGATGTGTGCAGGACAGGTTTCTGCTGCATTCCTTGTGTCGAGACATTGTTGAACAAGAGACGGTGTCAGAAGCATCTCACCTGGTCTAAAGACAAACAAGACTGGACTGCTGCTGAGTGGTCCAGAGTTATGTTCTCTGAAAGTACATTTTTAATTTCATTTGAAAACCAAGGTCCCAGAGTCCGGAGGAAGACAGGAGAGCCACATAATCCATGTCACTTGAGGTCCAGTGTAAAGTTTCCACAGTCAGTGATGGTTTGGGGTGCCATGTCATCTGCTGGTGTTGGTCCATTGTGTCTTCTGAAGTCAAAGGTTAACACAGCCATCTACCAGGAAGTATTAGAGCTCTTCATGCTTCCTGCTACTGCCCAAATTTATGGAGATGCAGATTTCATTTTCCAACAGGACTTGGCACCTGCACACAGTGCCAAAGCTAACAGTACCTGGTGTAACCCTAACCCATGGTACTGTTGTTCTTGATTGGCCAGCAGACTCACCTGACCTTAACCCCGTAGAAGGGTATTGTGAAGGGGAAGATGAATACGCCAGCGCCAACAATTCAGAAGAGCTGAAGGCCACGATCAGAGCAACATGGGCTCTCTTAACACCTGAGCAGTGCCACAGACTGATCGACTCCATGCCACGCCGCATTGCTGCAGTAATCCAGGCCAAGGGAGCCCTAACTATTGACAGCGCCATAGTCTCCCCCTCCCCTCACGTCAAGAGTCTGGGTGTCATCCTTGACAGCTGACTTTCTTTTCAGGCTCACATTAATAACTTAATTCGGTCAGCATACTTCCATCTATGTTCCATAAACCGTCTTCGCCCCTCACTGACCCCTCACACTGCCGCAATTCTCGTCCACAGCCTCGTCCCCTCCCGTATCGACTATTGCAATTCACTTCTTTATGGTCTCCCCAACAAACTCCTTCATAAACTGCAACTGATCCAGAATTCAGCAGCCCGTATTATCACCAGAACCCCTTCCTTTCACCACATCACCCCGGTTCTCCAGCAGCTTCACTGGCTCCCAGTTAAATTCAGGCCCACCTTTAAAATTCTCCTCCATACCTTCAAAGCAATCCATAACCTCTCTCCTCCATATATCTCTGACCTTATAAGTATTCACACCCCATCCCGTTCTCTCAGATCTTCTTCCTCCATCTATCTTGCGGTTCCTTCTGCCCGTCTCGCTACCATGGGGAGCAGAGCTTTCAGCCGCTCTGCTCCCCGTCTCTGGAACTCACTTCCCCCAGACATCAGGAACATCGACAGTTTTACCCTTTTCAAAACAAAACTCAAAACACACATGTTTAAATCTGCCTACAACCTCTGATTTTATTGAACTTTTTCTCTCTTTGTTTTTTCTTGTTTGGGTTTTATTATTGTTTTATTGTATTTTATTAAGTATTTTATGTCAAGTGACCTTGGGTGTTCTGAAAGGCGCTTTTAAATAAAATGTATTATTATTAACTAAATATAGAGCGCTGTACATGCTCATACTTTTCATGTTCACACATTTTTGTAGGCCAAAATTTCTAAATTCCTTTTTTTTTGCATTGTTCTTAATTGATATTCTAATATTCTGAGATACTGAATTTGAGATTTTCATTAGTTGTCAGTTATAATCATCAACATTAAAAGAAACATTTGAAATATATCAAACTGAGTGTAATGAATGAATCTAATGTACAAGTTTCACTTTTTGAATGCGATTACTGAAATAAATCAACTTTGTCGTGATATTCAAATTTTATGACCGGCACCTGTGTATATCAAAACGCCAGTTCAGTCAAATAATGGCAAACTTTCTGTGGCCTGTTTATACTCTTGAGTTTAAACATCCTTAAAACCTCAAAGCTGTTTCAAAAAGCATCCTTGGTGCAAGATTTACATGCTACATCGAGTGAAAACGCCCTGGTGCTCCTTTTAACAGACAGAAATACTCACTCAAAGATTTTTTGCAGCTGCTGCACCTCTGTGTATCCCTTAAACAAAGGTCTGTAAAATACAAAAAAAAAAAACAAGTCAAAAGTTAAATTGTTTTCATCTTCAGTTTGGCATCCCTAAAAATGTTGCACTTCTAAATTCAAGATGATCTTTCATCATCAGATATTTTTCTTTTTCTAACCTCAGGAGTAAAAGCTCAGCGAAGATGCAGCCGGCGCTCCACATGTCCACAGAGGACATGTAGACGGAGTTAAGCAGCACCTCAGGAGCCCGATACCACAAAGTCACCACCTGAGCAGTATCAGGGGACTGATGAGAGATGTACACAGGTGGGGGAGGGAAAAAATACTTTCAGTTACGATCATGGCTACAGGTAACCCTTACACCTGGTGTGAGAGCAACGTTGAAAGTGTGCAGACGGGCCAGTCCAAAGTCTGCGATCTTAACTTCTCCGTTGTTGCTGACCAGGATGTTTTCTGGTTTTAAGTCGCGATGCATCACAAGGTTTGTGTGGAGGAAGTCCAATCCTCGCAGCAGCTGCAGCATCACATTCTGAGAGTTGCAACATGACAGGAAATGTTATCCTTCAATCATCAAAACATGTACAACCAAAGTCCGACCGGATCAAGAGCCCAGACCTTTATAGAGTCGCTGCCCAAACCAGAGGCAGGAGCCTTGGACAGGTAGGTGGACAGGTCCTGGTCAATGTACTCCAGGACCAGAGTCAGGTCCAGAGCCAAGCCCAAAAACACAGCAGATACGTCCAAAAGCCTGAGTAACAAACAGGTCAGAATGCTCAAAGCTCTGAGGGTCACTTTTAGTAAAAATGTCCGACATGCAAATGAGAACAGATAAAAAAAAACTAACCGTAAGAAAGCAAATAAAGTATGTTAGACTGGTCCAGGCATTCTTCTAATAAAGTGATTTTGACTATTTTCTACTGGATTAAAGTTAAATGTTGTTTTTCACATTAAAAATAACCATTCGATGACTAAAATATGTTTCTTTCTTTTTAAATTTGCACAATTAAAAGAACATGATGGCAGCTCAAATTTGATAGCTAAACCTTAGTTAAGAAAATATGAACTAAAAGGTCTAACTGATCAGTATATTCCAAATATGTTTTAGTAAAACCTTACATTTTAACTCGTTTTTAGTTTAATCTGGAACTCAAACTATTTATGTCTAGACTTCTTATATTACATATCAGTCAGCTGCAGACATTCTGTGCCCATATTACAACTTTTGAATGGGAAACCACTCTTTAATGTCAGTTTGTAATATAAATGGCTTTGTTTTTAGGGGAGCAGCACTGGAGCTAGAAACGTCAGACAAAAGGCTGGCCCCGTTACTGGATACAGACTGGACTCCTATCAGGTAGAGCTGGAGGAAAGGATGCTGAAACAAAAAACTGATGACCATAAAAGACAAAGCATCCTCACCAGTGGAGCTTTATCCTACGGGATGCTCTGTTGTCGTAGCAACTGGTTCAGAGAATACCTCCTGTCATACCCTGATACACTCCGTACAAGAATTTGTCTCCCAAAGCTGTAGAAAATATTGCACCTTTTTGCACCAGTTAAGTCATATTTGCAGTTATTTTGCTACGTCTGCATATTCAAAATCATAGAACATCGTTCTTGGATTTAGCATCCTTTTAAATTTAAAGCTGTATTCTTGTATTTTTGTTGCTGCAGCAAAGATTTCCCAGGAAGTAATCCATCCATCCAATATCAGAGTCATTCTTGATACACAAGGAGCAACTTCTGAGGCACAGAAACCCCACAGGTTGTAGACTGCCTTATATAGAAATTAGTCTGACAGGAAAATGCTAAAAAAATTAATGATGGGGAAAAAAAACTCAATACTGCAACAGCAAATGCGTATAAAACACCAAATAAGAACAGTTTGACTTATCAGAGTACATTCAAACATTCAAAACAGTAAGTTTCATAATCCTACTTGACTATGTTTGGGTGATCGAAGAAGCCCACTTTGCGCAGCAGCGCCACCTCTCGGATCATGGAGGGAGGGATTCCGGTCCCCACTGCGCCAATTTGAAAGTTGAACTTCTTCACCGCCAGGAGGCGCTGTTTCTCCCCCAACTCCCTCGCCTTATAGACCTTACCGAAGGAGCCCTCACCGACCTCTGCCAGGAGCTCGTAACTCAGCCGTTCGGCGCAGAAGTTCATTTTCCTCCGAATTCAGCGTCAGAAAACCTGAACTTCACAAAAAGACGTCAATTTTAAGATGACAACCGCTAATAATGTCACGTTGTTGTGCTTTAGCAGCGGCGCGACTAAGCTAGCTCTTGACTTTACTGCTGTTTGCAGGTTAATGAGCATGTAATTAAATGTGTCTAAAAATAAGACAACCTGCATTAAGACTGCCTTGGTTTACCGAATAAACTTAGAAATACGCGGTTATTTACGCAGTGGGTTATTTTTTCGTTACCTCAGGCTGCAAGGAGCACAAATCGCACCGCCCGCTACCGGTAGAAAAATGGATCTGCATAATCCTCAAAAAAAAATATGAAGGCAAAAATCACACCCCTTTTTTTATTCACTGGCTAATCAGAAAGTCTAAAAACTGAATTATGGAGCTCAGCGTTTGCGCACGTGACTGCTGCAACAGCCGTGGTGCGTTCGGGAGCAGTCAGGATGTGTTTATAAACAAAACCAATAAGTGCTTTCTTGTTTTTCACGAGCCAAAACAACGGGACAAGTTTGATTACTGACTGCTCAAATCACCCAACACAGGCTCAAAGAGCCGCAAATAAAATGTTACATGTACATCACTGAAATAACTAAACAATCAAGTAGGATTTTTGTTTACAGCCATTGATCTGCTTCAAAAGGAAAATAACTTAAATGAAACAAAAAATAAAACATTCACACAAATCAAACTCAATCACTGTACTGATGTTTTGTGGTACCAAACAAGTGCAGGTAAAAATAAAGAGCTAAAAACTGGTTTAGTAACCATTTACCCAAACGGATTATTTCTGGTGAGCATGCTGAAGTACAGTACAGATAAGTACAGATACTCAAGTATCTTGTCATACAGGTTTCCCTTTTTTATCATTAGTATCATTGTAAGGCAAGTTTAGTTCCCAGTGTGAGTCTGAGGTGTAGTGTCCTGAATAGACATTCCCCATCACGCGCTCTGCGCTCCTCTGACCAAGGCCTGCTCGCTGTCCCTCGGTCTAGGTGTCGTACCCGTGGGGACCGGGCTTTCTCAGTCCTAGCACCGTTACTCTGGAACCAGTTGCCACCCTCAGTTAGGCTGTCCCCTTCTCTGCCAGTCTTTAAGAATCACCTAAAAACACACCTCCTCCGCTTGGCGTTTCCAGAACATGTTTGATTATGGCCCTCTATTATGTTGAATCCATTCCACAGTTTTCATTGGTACTCTCAATCCATCCACTCAATCAAATTGTGTCTCACACATTTGTATTTTACCGGAATGTTTCATCTATCTTGTAATTTCCATTTTGTATTTTGTAATTTGAATTTCTTTTATTGTTGATTTATTCAGTATAATTACTTACAACTGTACCATGTTCAGCGCTTTGGGCTTCCTGACAGGGTTGCGGAAGGCGCTTTATAAATAAAGCTTTGATTGATTGATTGATTGATTGATTGATAGTGCTGCAGCATATTACTCATCATTTACTCCTCTTTCATTTTATTGTTAGAACATTTTGCTCTTTTGGCCAAGCTGATGGTATCCAGGTGGAGGTTACGGTTGAGAATGGCTGAGCCGCAGTTCAGAGCTCCTGCGAGGGCGCCGGTGAGACCACACAACATCACATCCTGGCCTGTGAAACACACACACCCAAAATCATTAGAACAAGCAGGAAAACAAGGCTATTGGTTGTATTAGGCAGAAGAGGACACACCTGTCAGATAGAGATTCTTCAGTGGAGTCTGAGGTCTTATCATAGTGCTGAACTCAGGGTGGAACCGAGCGATGCCGTGATCCACTCCGTAGAACTCCCCTCTGGGGGCAGCTATATAGTGTGCGTTTGTGATGGGGGTTCCAGCATCTATGTACTCAATCTGCACAAGAACATACCGACGATGGCAACCAGTAAATGAAATGTTTAGTCAGAAAAAGTTATTATTTTAATCACCTCTGAAACGTACAATCCTGGAAAAACCTCATCCAAATCATTAATGACTGCCTCATAACCCATCCACCAAATTGCCCTCTAGCCACCACCACCACCACCACCCCGCCCCTCTGTACATGCCCCTCTATGTGCACAAAGCCCGAGTTTTCGGCTTGGAGCAGCTGAACAGAAGAGGAGCCAGAGCCAGGCTGCCTAGTCTAACAGACGGTATGTTTAGTTTACATGTTCAGTTTAGAGTCCGGTTCTGTTCTTGTTGCCCGTTAGGTGACAGAGCTGCTGTCTGTGAACGCAGCCTGTCCTCTGTTGACTGGCAGCTGCATGTTGCTAGCTGGCAGGGTCGAGGTGGGCTCTGGAAAATTTTGACTTATTGTTTGTAGGGTTTTCGCAGGTTGATGGTGGCACTGAGCTGCTGTGATTGTAAAGTTATGAAGAAACCAAGAAAGCTGAAAACTATCTCGATTTTCACCAGGGCCCGACCGACGTGCTTTTTTTGGGACCGACACCGATATGAAACTTTTAACAAAGGCCGATAGCCGATATAATGGCCAATATATCTCCCTCACAAAAAAAAGACATAAAAATAACAATTTTCTTCAGCTGAAACCCTTCATTCTCTGCCTTTTTGATGCAAACTTATTTCTCTATTACACACCAAAGAACTGTCTCCATAACTCACTCGGGTTTCCAAGTAATGCAAATAAGATTTATTTAGCAGATTTCAAAAACAACAGAACACACAAACACAAGTCACAGCATAAATCTAACATTCAAGTTTTCTCTTGTAAACTGTGGTTTCCATAAACACATTTTAACTTAAAGGGATATTCGTAGGTGGTCATTGTTTTGGCATTTTAGTGCATCTTATTTAAAATTTAAAAAATCAGACTAAATTATGCATTTATTGCACCCTCTTCAGGTTAAATGTCTGCACTACATCAAGTCTGAGTCGGCCATGGCCAACTCTGGTCCTCGAGGGCTTCTGTCCAGCACGTTTTAGCTGTTTCTCTGCTTAAACACACCTGGTTTGAATCCGCTGGTGATTGACAGGCTGCTGCAGAGCGTGATGAGCTGATGAACAGGTGATTAGTCTGGGAAAACAACTAAAACATGCTGGATAGCAGCCCTCAAAGGCCTGGATTGCCCATCGCTGTGATAATGAAAAAAAAAAGGAAATAAACACATCAGAGATGTTCCAATCCTTTACCTTGTCTCTTGTGATCTTTGGATAAACATCCAGCACCACCTCCAGGGCCGAGTCAATGAATGCTTGTTTCAGGTCCTTGTAGTCGGGCCCTCTGTTCCCCACTTTGCCATCTTTCCACTCCTCAAACCACTCGTATTTAGCAAAACTCACCAGAGTCAAAGTGGACTTTCCTGAAGGGAAGAAGAAAACGAGGCAGGTAAGATACGCTTTAGTGACACAATACACAGGTTACAGCGGGACTGTAGTTACACGACAAAATGAAATGACTCCAGGCCAAGTGTATTCACGTTAACCATCGTGTCATTGTACCTGGTGATCTCTCCTCCCAGGTTGGATCTTTAGCTGATGGAGAGGCAACAAACAGCAAAGGAACGTTTTTAGCAGCTTCTTCCCTCTTTTTACTCCTATATTCCGCTACCCTTTAATAAAAACAGAGAATTACGGTCATCTTTGGAAAAGTTCTGCACCACAAGAGGCAAAAGCTGCTAAAATATGTCCACTCTGAGGCTATTCTTCCAATAAAACCGTGCTGCGCTGAGCTTGTGATTTGCATTTTGAGATTACAGGACGGCAAAGGCTGTAGGCAGAACACGGAGACTTAAAATGGAAAGAAACTTACAGTTGATCAAAGTCGTTCTCTGCAAAGACCCAGTAGTTGTTTGCTTTCAGGCCCAGCTCCTCCTTGGTCCCATTCAGACCCACAAAAATACTCAAGCCGCTTTCGCCATGCTTCACCATGCCCAGCTGCCTCTGGATCGCTGCAAGGCCGTAAAGCAAAGATGACCAAAGCATCAGAAAACACACTGGAAAGATTGTTTTTGCACAAAACTGTTAATAAATGTGTTTAAACCGTTATAATACGGATTTAAAATGTCTTGATGTCTGACCTGGCATGGCCTGGAGCTCCTTGGGCAGCAGCTTCTCATAGGTGTTAAATATCCCAGCATCAGAAATGACCATAGGAGCGCGGATATGAACTTCCTCCTGACCTTTCAGCACGCTCACACCTGAAACCACAACCAAACACCGTCAAATCACTCGCTTTGTGAAATGCGTTAGGTGCAGGATGAATTCAAGAAGCCACGCCCACCACAAGCCTCCTTTTCCTGGTTGAATAAGATCCGGTTCACCTGGGCTCGAACCAGAACGGCACCGCCTGCCTTCTCGATGACGGGGATCATGTGGTAGGGGATCTGACTGGAGCCGCCTTTAGGATACCAGGCTCCATTCAGGTAATGAGTGGTCAGAAGGCTGTGCATGGCAAAGCTGGCCTCTTTAGGAGCATTACCTTCACGTCCAACACAGGGAATAATAAAACAGTCAGCTGCACGCTCGGATCTGTCACCAGAAACAGAAAAACAGCGGTATACCGTAGGTGCCAAAGATGTAGCTGAAGACTGCTCTGAGGTCCTTGTTCTGGGTCAGCTCACCGACCACATCGGCCAGTGTGCGGGGGGCCATTTTGAAAAAATAAGACAGGTGTTTGACGAGGCCGGTGTAGATCAGGAACTTGGCCAAAGGGAGGGGCAAGATCTTCAGCATAGCAAGAAGCCAAACCCCATTACCAGTTTTCTAAAGACAAAACACAAGATAGTCGGGACAAGGTGACAAAAACATCCTTTTATTTTCTCACAGTAATCTGTTGTTTTTGTTTCGGGAGTTCATCAGACCCCGCTTCCAGGAAGTGTAAATAGTTGTTGGGACACTGGCCGTTTGCATTCATTCATGGGTCTGCATCAGAAAGATTTATCCTCTTGGTCCTACTACACTTTTCCTACTCCTAGTGATGTTTGTGTGGCAAAAACCAGACAGAAAAATGCTCCACGAATCAGGACGACACTGCATGCAAACACACTCTGTGTCCATTGTATTCATGCTTCCATGTCTGTTGAACTGTGCTGCTAACTCCACTAGAATGCCATCATTCTTTTTCTTTTTTTTATCATTTTCATCTCAATAAAGATTAAAACAAAGCTTTGAAGGAATGCACGGTTGATGTCACAGTTCACGCTTGGGATTTAAATAAACATTACATTTTTAAATGTTAAAGGCTCCTGTGGCTACCTGTAAACTTCAGAGTCAAGTTTAAAATCCTGATTTTTGTTTTTAAGGCCATGAACTCCGGATTGCCTGTCTGATCTTGTGACTCGTTATATGCCAAACCGGGCGTTGACATCTGCTGATTGCCTGCCGCTCTGCGTTCCAACAATGAAATACAAAACGCGGGGGCGGCGTGCTTTTGTCTACGCTGCTCCGACACTCTGGAATGCTCTTCCTCTTTCAGGGAGGCTGGCACCATCCCTCCTCCGGTTCAAGTCGCTACTTAAGGCTCACTTTTACGACCGGGCATTTTAAAATCCCTGACTTTTATTATTTTACTATGTGTCTTTTTATTGACCGTGATTATCTGCCTTGTTGTGTATTTTATTGTTGACCGTGTTGTTTTTATGTTGTGTTTTTATTTTTTATTCTGTACAGCACTTTTGGTCGGCTGCCATGCCGTTTTTAAATGTGCTTTATAAATAAAGTTGGTATGGTGACTCTTTTGGGTAAACCCTGACAACATGATGAGCTACACGCTGCTGACCTGTTAGAATTCTGCGACCCTAGCGACTGTCCAGAACATGTGCGATATCTGTAAGACTGACAGAGGTAAAGCTACGTTTGTGTTTGCTAATGTCAATCAGCAGTGGGCGGTCATCTTGAAAGGGGTTGATGAACATCCCATAATTCAGGGTATCTGCAGGTTTAAGGGAGCCAAATTTAAGACTTTTTAAGACCTTTTTTAAGGCCACTTTGAACAAATTTAAGCTATTTTTTCTAATTAAATTTAAGCTATAATTTCCAGCTATTGCCTGATTAGCCATCTAGTTACCATTAAACTTGCACTTCCCCATGGCGCAAGCTCCCACTAGCTTAACTAGCTAATGTGCTCATCTAAAAATAGCCCCCTTTCACAACCAACTGAATGTGTACGGTTCTGCTTACGCCAGCGTCATACACAAAAAATGCTGAACACCAACTAGAAATTCACAAACATTTTATAGAAATAAAAGAATCTTGTTTATTGGGTCTTTGGTCATTTAAGACCTTTGGAAACTGGATTTAAGGATTATTTGTCATTTTAAAGGATTTTTAAGGCCTTAAATTTGGAAAAGCAAATTTAAGACTTTTTAAGGACCCGCGGATACCCTGTACTTACTTTCTGAAAGTTTTGTTGAAATTCATTCAGTGGTTTATGAAATATCTGCAAGGAATCTAGCCTACATTAAGAAGCACCTTCCACCTCGTAGCTGAATAAGAAGATAGATGCACTAAAATGACAAGTGCAGTTAGTAAAAGTGGGAGGATCTTTATCTGTGTGTGTGTGTCAAAGTCACACACACACAGATACATGTTGTGTAATCCTGCAGCTGGGGGTCTGATTCAACAATATCAGCTGAAATCAAAGTGCGGCATTTAAACACAAAGTTTATTCAGGGAAAGGGCGTCTGAATGTTGAGTCAGTGAGTGAACTAATTCATATCGTCAAAAGCGTGCATGCTAGGTTAGCTGGTGACTCTGAATTGCCCTTGAGTGTGAGTTAGTGTCAAGGTCAAGGTAACTTTATTAATACCCGCAGGTAAATGTGATTTGCCATGTGACACCAGAATTAGCGCCCAGGTTACACACACAGTCACAAAACACACACATCAATAAAAATGATAAACAATAAGTGAATAAAAATAATATAAAATAGCCACACCAGACTCAATTCTCATTAACGTTACTGCCTCGGGAATAAAGCTCATTTTATACCTCTTGGTCCTGCACCTTGGCACAATAAATCTCCGTCCAGATGGCAGGAGAGTAAACTGGGCATGCAGTGGGTGTCCAGTATCCCTAACAATAGCTTTAGCAATTCTCTCTACCTGTCCACTGTACAGCTGCACCACACTTTTCCCTGGTTTTCCAAGCAGACCACCCGTGTGTGAACAGTTGTGTGACTCCATTTAGTCCTGGATGGACCGGAGACCTGTCCAGAGAGTCCTCTGCTTCTCATACGGTGGAGACAGACACCAGCCACCTGCGACCCTAGCGACTGTCCAGAACATGTGCGAGTGAGCTGAAGGATCCTACCTTGACCAATCTCAAGTACTCATCGATGGCCTTCTCCTCGCCTGGGAAACACTTCTTCAGCTCCTCGGGGAAGCGGGTCTTGCCACTGTAAATGGGGTAGCAGCGGCGGTTTTCTGGAGGTCCCAGAACAATGTGGTCAAATGGGTTCTCCAGAGGTGCCCACTGCAGCTGCCCATTGGTCATCTGGTCCAACACGCAGCGAAAAGGCTTGTGGTCTAACAGCTCACCGACGTAGTGGATCCCTGTGGTTGAACAGCACAGCAACTGTTAGTCAGGACTGACTTTTGTGTTCTTATCAACTTCTGGGTGATAAAAAAAGGAGAATTTCAATACAGGAAATAAACTTGCATCCTGTCTGCGTTTGTTTACAAAAACCTGTCTTACTAGAAAAATCATCATCAGCTTTGAACTTTAAAAGAAATCAGTTATGCGTCTTCTCACCAACATCAAATTCAAAGCCTTTCTCTGTGAACGTGTGGCAGCATCCCCCGGCCCGACTATGCTGCTCCAGAACCAGAACTTTCTTTCCAACTTTAGCCAGAAACACAGCCAGTCCAAGGCCACCAATGCCACTCCCAATGATGATTGCATCAAGATTTTCTGGTACTTTGGAGGCCAGGAAACCTAAATTAAATCAGGTAAAACAAAGTTAAAACAAGAAAACTTCACCTATAAAGATACTATTTTTTTTTCATTGCGTTACATATATTTGGATTATTTTTCACATGACAGTATTTTTATTCCAATTCTCTGATTAAATCAAGATCCATGTATACCAAACGTTTTATTTCTAATTGTTTAAGTCCAAAAGATAGGAAACATGTTTACTGCTAGGATTAGGTCTGCGCAGCCGAACTTTTAAACAGCTCACTGTCGTTCACACATCCTACACACATTTACGCAGCTAAACGTTACGCACCTTGCTTCAGCACTTTATTTCTCTCTTTTTTGTCGAAAACCATCTTTTTTAACGGTTCACGACAGTCCTTCTCGAAGGGATTTGGTCCGGAGCTGCCGAAGACATGTTTTAAAACAAATACCACTAAAAATATTAAAATAATGGCTACTACCGCAAACATTTTATCCCCTTTCTGAAGAAGCTGTAACCGGGATGACAGCTCCGGCTACTGTGGGTTCATTTCCTCATGGGCTAGACAAAATACCACCTATGCTCATTCAGCCAACCACAGCCGTAGCTTTATGTGACGCGATTTATTTGGACCAATCAACAACTATAAAGAGAAAGTCGCTTCCCCGCTGCTTGTCCGTTCACTACTTCCTGATCAGTTCTCGTGAACCAGCGCCCTATCTAGTAAACGAGTGGGCATGTCGAACAGCCTTTATAAAAGGAAACTCGCCCTAGAAAATAAACACCTTCGAGTGTTTTTAAACAAAATGAGCGCTACAGAGTATTACATCACTTGGTTTGACTTTTAAAAAGATTTCAGTTCTATTTAGCATAGCTTGATAAAAAAAATAAACGTTTTCGTTTTGGTCATGAAAACCTTATTAAAACAAAACTCGAGCGGTTCCCAAAGTTAGGGAGTCACCAAGATGGAATCAAATAGAACTGACATGGGGCAAAGAATCCTAAAATAATATTTTCCTCACTGTTTTCATTCTGCCATTGTTGAACTTTTAGGCTGTGCTTATATTGACCAACATGAAATATTTAGGGTTGCAAGTTTAGGCCGTATTTTTGGATCCGGAGCCAATATAAACGGTAACCTTAAACCTTGGCCACTGCCAAAACAAAAGCCTCAAACTAAAAATCAGAAACATGCAACTCTGTTGTCATGCAAACAGATCAGTGAAAAGTGGTTTGCAACTTCTACATTTCACCTTTAATTAACTCTCTCTTAAATAACAAACTACAAATAACTTCACAGCAACTGCTAGATTTTATTTTATTTTGCTTAAAAGAAAAAAAATATCACCTCCATCTTCTCATTCATTTCCTGCATCACAACACCGCAAGACTCACCTTTTTTAAACATCCTTTAGCACACGTTTTACACGAGAAACCCCAACAGGAGTGCTTCCCCACTCATCACCATCCACCCTGCACGTGTTGCCAGTCCAGACTGATTTCACAGGCCCAGCTCCAGATTCTGACCATAAAACCTCACCCCCCTCTGAAAGCAACTGCATAGTCAGTATGCAAGATCTGCTGAACTATGCTTGGTAGCCTACAAACTCTGGTGTGTCGTCACATCTGATTTAATTCCAATTGAACAGGTGACGTGATCAAACCAGCTCAATATATACAGCTAGAGCTCAGCATGATGCTGCATGTACACTCAAACTTGTTTATAATTTGGTCATTTCCATTTTTACCAAATACCTTTTAAATATTTTTTTTAGATTTCCCGCCAGAGGTTTTAGTTATCTATTAAGCTTTAAAAAAAACTTTAAAAGTGCCCTGAAGTACTTTGGATTTCTGATTGCCACCTGAAACCTTGCAGATATTTTGGAAAAATAAAACAGGTTTGTGGTATTTAACAGTGGAAGTCACAAATGGGCCTCACTTAAATCCAAAGGTGTTGGCGTAAACCTCATTCCCGTTGATAAATGAATCAGCTGTATCAGCTCAACTGTGATCAGCGGAGATTGATTTGTCCTTGCTTCTGGATTTCTTTTGTCGGTACGATGGGCTGGATAAGGACGCCCATGAGTGTTAATATGAAGCTCCAGAGGATGCATGCCAACTCTGGTAATAACTTCAAGCAGTGCCGAGACACCTTCATGAATGCCAACAGATGGTGAGGAGCAAAATTAAATAAAATACAAAGTTGAAAAAAGAACTCTTAACAGAAGCCCTTATCTTATGTCCACTTTTGGTATTTATTACATCCTCTCTCTCTCTCTCTTTAGAATATTCCTGCTCATGTTGATTTTGTTACGTCTAAAACTTAAGAACAGATTTAGTTTAATTGCAAAAAGCACTTCCAATGATTAGGAGTAGAATAAAACAGTAGGTTCTGCTCTGCAGGAGCTAGGGCGTTCTTCGCAGATACGTCTGATATTATTTACAGGTACTGCAGGTTTTGTAGGTTTGCCAACAGTGAGTGTTCTGGTGACCAGTAATCTGTGCCAACTGTTCTGGTGTGTTTGGTACAAATGGAAAACAGCTTTTAGATGAAATACAGTTGCTTGCAATGGTCACTAAGATGGCTTAAGGTCCATGTGATGGAGGGAGGATGGGAGGGAGGGAGGGAGAAGAGCTCCCCAAACCCTCAGCCTGGCAGCAGTTGTGCAGGTCAAAGTTCAAAGGGTCAAAAAGTAAAAATGAGTGGTGGATTTCCTCTCCAAAAGCTGGAAATCATCAGTCTGTGGTGTGGTCTTCAGGCCTGTTGGTGACACTTTCCCGACGTTGTAAGGAGATGTCACTGCAGAACCAGCCCGACCTGAGGAGAAAACAGAAGGCCACAGCTCTTTAGACAAGACTGTAGGTTTAACCTAAGATGGGTTTGGGGTCCACCAAGTGGTAATTTAGCAGCTGTGAGTCCTTTACAGATGCACCACAGGTCATGCATCTTGTGAGATTGTCTTAAGCAGCCCTGATTGTTTTCAAGATTCGACCAAACAGTTATAAATACCTCCATCACTTCTCATCACAAGATGGTTTTAGCTTAAATCTGTGGGATGAAATGACAACTTTTAATCATGTTAATGCATTTTTGTGTCAGCGACGTGTTTTTTGTTTTTCCAAAAGAAAAGCACCAGATCCATTTGAAACATCCTGTCACCTGTTTGGTAAAGCTGCTCCCACTAAAGTGGGACTACGTTAAATGCTCAGATGAAACTTACACTTTATAATCACTAGGGATGTGTATTGGCGAAATTCTGGTGATACGATACTCATCACGATACAGGGGAGACGATACGATATTTCACGATATATTGCGATACATTCAGTCAGGCAATAATAGCGATTTTTAAGACTAAAATTATTGTAGGAAAATTCAATAAATGGTCCAAACTGATACTTGACATGATTAACATGAGGTATCTGAACCATAATAGAGGGATTTACATTTCAGTGGTGGAAACAAACTCCATTGCACACTACTGCTGACTAGCGGACGACATTTGATTTGCACCAAAAGAAAAGAAAATACACAAATGTTTACACGTGAGTTCTTCCAAAAAAATCGATACACAGCTTTTGAACATCGATATCATATCACAGGAAAAAATATTGCGATATATTGCTATATCGATATTTTCTTACATTCCTAATAATCACTAACCAGCATCACTCAGCATTTAAAGCAACACCAAAGAGATTTGAACTCTTTAAGCTATTGCTTTCCAAGTGGGTTCCAGTGATTGTTGAGGTAGAAACTTTACCAACTTCACAATGGACAACACTCTGCAATCCTCTGCTGACTAGTTTAGGTTAGGAATTAAGATTTTTCAGCATCAACAAAAAGCACAAGAAGGAGAAAAATAAAAATGTAGCTGTTATTATTTTCGTTCCACTAAACAAATAAGTAATCCCAGAAAAATTACCTTTTCTGGCCCCATGCTGGGACACTTCCAATTGTACAGATAATACTGCAGATTGCCATCTCCAATCCCAAACTTCAGCTTCTCCAAGAAAGTCTTGTTTTCCATTAGATCCAGTGCATTAAATACATCAAAGCCTTTCTATACGGGCAAAGAAAAACACATTGGTTTGATGCACGTTATAACTTGAGCTGCAGATCTGGGTTTTAATAAGATGTAAACAAACCGATTTGGCAAGGATGAGGGCGTCGGACATCAAGTCAATCAGGGGAGTGGTGGTGTGCACATTGTAGAAGGAATACGCTGCTTTTAGGCTGCGGTGCACAGGGTGATTCATTATAGTAGATGGCAGTGTGTAGAAACTCAGGAAGTCCGTCACTTTGCCCTCGGCCTGCATGGAGAAAACATCAAAAATGAAAAAATAAGCTCTTTTATCTGTAAGAATATTGAATTAAAACACTTTACCTCCACCAGGTATGTGTCGATGATGTTCTCCCGAGGGAGGAACCAGTGTTCCACTTCCTCTTGGTTCATGACAGGCACCAGGTTGAATTGGCTCAGGTACTCACGGAGGAGGCGATGCACCACCGGGATGTCCTTCTTGGTCATCGGTCGCAGACCAGAAGTCTTTGGTGCCTGGAGGAGAAAATACAGTGAACAGGAGGTTCAAAGTATAATGGGGAGCATGTGTAGATTTGTGTCTCTCTGCACACACCTCTGGCAAGCGGTACAACTTCATGGTGCGCTGCATAGTCATGTTTCTGCTCAGGTGGGAGAATTTCACTTCAATTAGTTTTCTTGGGTTCAAAGAGCGATGCCAGTACCTGTGGAAGTTAATGATCATTAAAGCTGTAAAAGATGAAAACTAAGGTTTATTTGCCAGACAAACCTGCACGTGCCCACCGGTTTGGGCAGCACCACTCCTGCAGTGTACACCGCCTGGAAGATACCCTGCAGGTTGACCCTTCTAGTGATCTCCCTGATCAGAACTGGAGCCACTCGCTTGGCGCGAAGCTTCTTGTGGACACAGAGGAAGTTGATCTCAACCATTTTCTTTTCTCTAAGAAAAACAAACATTAAAAAGAAAACGGTTATGTCAGACTTGTATGCTGTGAAATATTCACTGACATTTATGAAGAACTTCCATGACTACTTCAAGGTGTGGATCACTCATTAAACAAATACGTTTGCAGAGGTCTCGAGTAGGAATGAATGACTTGGAAGGTGGTGGGGGAGCTCTGGCGCACCATATTCAGGAACTAGAAGTGAGCCGCATCAGAGCTGAGCGTCAGACGGCAGGTTTAGGATTTTTTTCTGGACATCTCACCTCTGATTGGATAACAGCAATGTGACTACCACTGACTCTGCTCTGCAACGTTGAGGTTTAATCTCCACAAACAACTCAAGCCTGACAAAGTTCTGCTGTGTGGCGGAGATGCTAAAACTAACGGTTAGCTTCTACTAGCTGAGATCTTCTCTGCCGTTTCCTGGACGCTAAACCAACAACAGCCTTCCTCGTTGTGAGTCAAGATGGGTGAGTCCATGAATGTTCAGTGACAGTGTGACGTAGATCTGTCAGGATTTTCCAAATCCTAGAGTTTCATCGTCAATTTTCTATCAGAAGCTAATGCAGGAGATAGGTGTAGGAGATTATTTTCATGTTCAGCCTGCATAAAAAACTGTGACCTATTATCAGAAATAAGATTTAAAAATGAGTTTTCAGCGTTCCACACTTTTCAGGTAACTGAGACACAACCTGAACGGTCTACTCAACGCTACAGAGTTTCCTTACATGTCGTAGATGTGGATGTTGGCTGGAATAGCGCTGATAAACCCGACCAGCTTCTGGTTGGAGTTCACTCTTACTCCACAATGCCACTGAGGCAACCAGCCTGGAGGCCGCAGGGCCCTGAGCAGGAAACGGATTTGAAGACCAGTTAAGCAGTGTAATGAGTAACTACATACATTTAAAAATATTCAGTTACTTTAACATTTGCTGCAAGTGTAAAGCTGAAAGTGTTTCATTTGTACCAGAGCAAGAAGTCAGGAGAGTAGTCAAATCTGAACATGTTGTCGTCATCTTCCACATAGTTTTCATTGAGAAGAGTGTAAAGCTCCTTGAGCTGGTTTTAAACCGATAAAAGCAGAAATAAAGCACCAGTAAGTTTTAAATGTTATGAAAATAAACAATTACACAAAAATAATTCATCTTTCCAACATCTGTCATTAGTAGTTATACATTTTTCATTCATGAATTAAAAACAAAACATGCACCGATACACACTAAGGTTGGGTCATTTTCAAGCGATATTCGACAGTCCCAAATAAATGATGACGTGTGATTTTGGCACAGGAGATGTTAAGAGGTTCTGTGGGCCGGCACACTGCATAGAGCGCTCCACCATTCACTAATGTTTTTACTCCCTTTGCAGAAGCAAGCTGCAAGGTCTTCAAATGAGACGTTGCTTCTATCTAAATTTCACTGGCTAGTTGATGCTTCAATAAATCATAAACTGAGCCATAGATCGTTGACGCTACACACCAGACCAGAGGGTTAGTACTTCTAACCTATCAGCCAATAGCTGATGAATTTGCCTCAGCAGAGAGTGGGTAGCCCTACACCTGCTGGTCCGGGAAGAAGCTAACATTGGATGCTAACAGGGATTATGAGCATCTGAGGAAATTTTTTAATGGTTTCTGCAATCTATTATGTTGGATTGTGAAAGTAAGACCATTGTTGTTGGAGAAGGCTCTATTCTGTCAGTGATATGAGGCTCTGAATGGTGAGTTACACATTATTTTGAATTTCCAAGTGGTTTGACAAAAGCATTTACCATGTCTACAGTTATGGTCGAATCCTTGATTCCGATAGGTCAGTGAAGCCACAAGACTCCCAAATCATATATTCTCAATCACTCACGCGCGCGCGCACACACACACACACACACACGCGCACGCACACACACACTTGGGTAGCCTCGTTAATCTTCATGATTTCCTGTATTAATTGTTGGTTATTACAATTAAAAAAATCTCAGTTGAATATGTCATATAGGAGACACACACAGTGGTGTTTGACAAGTGAAACAAAGTTTATAGGATTTACAGAAAGTGTGCAATAATCTTTTAAACAAAATTAGGCAGGTGCATAAGCTACACACTTCCTATAGCTTCCAATTCAATTCAATTCAAGTTTATTTATATAGCGCCAAATCACGACAAGAGTCATCTCAAGGCACTTCACATGATAAACATTCAAATTCAGGTCATTTCATTAAGCCAATCAGAAATAATGTTTCCTATATAAGGAACCCAGCAAATTGCATCAAGTCACTGACTAGTGTCAGTGACTATACAGCAATCCTCATACTAAACAAGCATAAAGCGACAGTGAAGAGGAAAACTCCCTTTTAACAGGAAGAAACCTCCAGAGAATTCTGGCTCAGTATAAGCAGCCATCCTCCACGACTCACTGGGGATCGAGAAGACAGAGTAGGCACGCACGCACGCACACACACACACACACACACACACACACACACACACACACACACACACACACACACACACACACACACACACACACACACACACACACACACACACACACACACACACACACACACACACACACACACACACACACACACACACACACACACACACACACACACACACACACACACACACACACACACACACACACACACACACACACACACACACACACACACACACACACACACACACACACACACACACACACACACACACACACACACACACACACACACACACACACACACACACACACACACACACACACACACACACACACACACACACACACACACACACACACACACACACACACACACACACACACACACACACACACACACACACACACACACACACACACACACACACACACACACACACACACACACACACACACACACACACACACACACACACACACACACACACACACACACACACACACACACACAGAGTCTGGATTCTGGCTGAAGGTATTCTGGACCATTTTCTTATTCCAGAATGAAGCTGGCTTGTCCAAATGTGCTTTAGCAAACCTCTGTTGGTGCTGTGGGCAGAGAAAAGGCTTCCTCTGCATCACTCTCACATACAGCATCTCCTTGTGTAAAGTGCACTGAATAGTTGAATGATGCATATCGACTCCATCCGCAGCAAGATGATGTTGTATGTCTTTGGTCTGTGGGTTGGCTCGGACTATTCTCACCATTCTTCACTTCTGTTTATCTGAGATTGTTCTTGCTCTGCCACTTGGAGCCTTAACTTGAACTGTACCTGTGGTCTTCTATTTCCTCAATATGTTCCTAACTGTGGAAACAGACAGCTGAAATCTCTGAAGCCCCCTTCAGACAGGCCATGGAAAACGGAAATGTTCGGGACTCTGTCCTTAAGACCTTTGTGTCTGAATACAAACATCCGGATAACCTTTTCCGTGATTAAACCGGACGAAGCCCCTAGTAACAGAACCGGACTCGCCATGGACAGGGTGGCTGCTTCAGACTGGTGAGGTCGAGTTCCGGACAGGGAGGAGGGAGAGGAGGGGACCGGGGGACGCTGTGCGCACCTAGATTGTTCGCTCCTGTAGCATGCGGCGAACCATGGCAGCTCGCCTCCTATGCGCTCCTACGGTACAGTCTCCTAGACGCGCGACGGAGCGCTTCAAACCGCTTCCGTGATTCCTTTAACCATTGAGTTTCATCATCCAGGTCTCTTATGCGTCTTCGTGTGCACATAATTATGCTTAATATAAGTCCGATCAGTGAGAGGAATTCTATCTCTTCGTCGGCCATGTTTGACTAAATAGCTTTGGTTGGGTAAATGATGCATGTACGCCCGGCGCACTATGTTTACGCAATATCTGGTCTGACATCTGAAACTTTTCCCTGCTGTGTGAAGGCAGCCGAAGGGACAAGTTCAGATACAAAAGTGGTGTGTCTGAAAACACAGTTCTGGTTAAAAACCAGACTGAATTGTCCACACATATTCCAGAATGTCAATCTGAAAAGGGCTAGAGACAGCTTTCTGTATCCTTCCCCTAAACCATGACGGTGAACAATCATGAGCTGTTTTTACAGGACCAGAGCGTTTGCAAAACGGGATTTGCCGCGGCTCCCTGGGGAGGATAATGATCATTTATAAGATCAGCCCGTGGCAGTAATGTGGCGCAATCGTGGCAATTTTATAAAAGATTAGGTGATGGCGGCATAAAGCGGGTATAGGGGTGGTCTCTGCGCTGCCGCAGACTTCCGTTTATCTTGGACATAACTTGCTTTTTATTGCGATTGAAGCCGTCATCGTTACATTTTTTTAACAAGCAGCTCCTAAAGGTGTCTGTCCCCATCAGTCCCTGTGCGGTCTCTGGTGATTTGAGCTTCAGCTCTAACAGAGAGGCTCATGCAGCGCTGCGGCGCTCCAGTTTGCCATCTCAGCTGATTTTGTTCAAAAAGCAAGCCTTACCGCCTGTGTTTACTTTCATTTTCCATAAATTTGCCAACCCGGAGCTCAGCAATAACTCCCCACATCATCATGACATCTGCCTCTGTTGCGCCAGGGCGCATACGACAGACCATTACCGCAATATTACTACCAAGCGAGGCGGAACGAATGCCGCAAAATTCGCGCAACGCCATGCCGGCATGGCGCGTTTATACACATACCACTGCGGTAATATTACGCCAATTTGCCAGCATGGTGTGTCTTATAAAAAGGGCTTTGTTTTCAGCTCATGTGAGAGTTGTTGTGAGGCCCCCATGTTGCTACTCTTTAGAGAATATTCAAAGAGGACGGAAACTTACAATTGGCCCCCTTAAGGAATCACCCATGGGTGTTTTTAGCCCATTTTTGGGGATGCTGAAACACCGCTAAATCAACTCCCAGCACCCCTAAAATTTGAGAATTAGAAACATTTTTTACTATATGTTTTTTAAAGACACTTGTAAAATATAAAAAGCGTACAGTGCTTGGTTGAAACATTATATTTCAACAACAAAAATGCAGCAAATCTCCCCTGCCTCAAAAGCGGTTTGTTCACCTTTGCCAGAGTCTTCCTTCCCGAGTGGCTGATACGCTGTAGTTACTTAACGGTTTGAGTTGTTTCAGATACATGCAAATCAAACCGTTATGAAGCACATTAAAGAACAGTTATACTTTAATTGAATCCTTGATTGTTTATTCTTGTTAGAATTCTGAGAACAAATGTCAGGAGTCCAACATTAGATCTGACCTTTTTCACAAATAATAGTCAGTGATCTCTTTTTGCCTCTCCCCTAAATATCTACTAAATGAGATTTGACATTTTTGAAAAAACATCATTTTATTTGTATTTGGTTGTAATGTGAAGGAGAAAAAATATTGCAAAAAGAGAACGGATATGTATTTTTCCAAAAGGAGGTTGATATTAGTGGAAAATGTATTAAAAATACACGCAAATGAATCCAAAAATTATTATTATTAGTACTTTTAGTGGCAACTCCAACCAATGAATCTGCTCTTATTCTGAAACTACAACAACCTGGGCTAGCTAATTTCACACTAATGGCGGGGTCCTTAAAGAGCAAGTCAACCCCTACCAGAGTCTAACTCCACTCCCACTTCATGTTTGAAAAATGCAACACATGCTGTTGCCTGGCAGACCGAGAGGGCGGAGCTGCTAACAAATACACACACACACAGGCTCAGGACAGCATTGTGACATCATAATGTACCAGATGACATCATAGCATACCTCTTAGCCAATAGCGGTGGCAGATTTAAATTAGAATACAGTGCAGAGTTTTTACCTGACAACGGCACAACTGCCAGTTTTAGGCAGAATATTTAAATTTTAACTAAGATGCACTGAAGTGCCAAATTATTGACGACACGTGTCTGCAGCACGATTAGAAACTCGTTTATTTAGTTTATCAGCAAAAAAAAAGTTTATTTGGGGGTGACTTGCTCTTTAAGACATAGTTCATGATTTGTGAAAACTTTGACTTGTGAAGATAAAAAAAAATGTATTTTAGCATTTTATTTACACTCAACAAAAATATAAACGCAACACCTTTGTTTCTGCTCCGATTTTTCATGAGATGGACTTAAAGATCTAAAATTCATTCCAGATACACAATATTACCATTTCTCTCAAACATTGTTCACAAATGAGTCTAAATGTGTGATAGTGAGCACTTCTGCTTTGCTGAGATAATCCATCCGACCTGACAGGTGTGCCACATCAAGATGCTGATCTGACATCATGAGTAGTGCACAGGTGTACCTTATACTGCCCACAATAAAAGGCCACCCTGGAATGTGCAGTTTTTTGCTTTATTGGGGGTCTGGGGACTCAGAACCAGTCAGTATCTGGTGAGACCACCATTTGCCTCATGCAGTGCAACACACCTTCTTCGCATAGTTTATCAGATTGTCAATTGTGGCCTGTGGAATGTTGGTCCACTCCTCTTCAATGGCTGTGCAAAGTTGTTGGATATTAGTGGGAACTGGTACACGCTGTTGTATACGCCACTCACTATCACACATTTAGACTGATTTGTGAACAATGTTTGAAAGAAATGGTAATATTGTGTATCTGGAATGAATTTTAGATCTTTAAGTCCATCTCATAAAAGATCGGAGCAGAAACAAAGGTGTTGCGTTTACATTTTTGTTGAGTGTATTTATTTAGGCCTGCTTGTTTATCACCTGAGCCACTTAGGAACACCTAGACCAGTATCCCCAACTCCCTTCCCCGAAGGCTGGTATCCAGCATGGTTTAGTTGTCTAGCATGTTTTTGTTGTTTCCCTAATCCAGCGCACGTGATTCACCTGTTCAGCAGCTCATCAAGCTCTGCAGAGGCCTTCTAATCACCTGCTGATTAAAATCAGGTGTGTTGAAGCTTTATTTTCCAAATGTGGCAAAGAAATTGTGTTAAGATGTACAAAATTCAAACTAATCTTGCCTGGACGGAGCTCAGCACCTCTGAACCTCTGATGTTATAATTGTCCCTGGATTTACCTGTGTATGGAGGTCAAGGGTCACTGAGCTTACCAGACCAATTTTGAGTTCCAATAATTAGTTCTGAAGGTTTTGGAAACAAAAAAATAAAAACTAAACAACGGTGCCCAAATTAATGCAACTGCCGAATTTTGTTTAAACAATTATTGCACATTGTTTGTAAATCCTATAAACCTTGTTTCACTTGTCAAACACCACTGTGTGTGTCTCCTATATGATTTATCTGAGATTTTTTATTGAAACAACCAACGATTTATACAGGAAAATCATGAAGACCAACAACGCTGCCAAACTTTTGCACCCCACTGAAATTAATGTGTGTGTGTGTGTGTGTGTGTGTACATATGTAAATGTTCTTTGAGTACAAAAATTATTGCTCATTAAAAAAAAGATCAGTGAAGCCTTGGCCAATCACCAATGGTCGAGTAATTTGTCCAATTGCCCAATACACACCCAACAGTAACAGCCTTTTATTCCATTCCGACTAAAGGTTTCAGCTCATTGTTGTCCCAACTTCATTGGCTCTCTGCAGTATCAATCAACAATATACTGCACTGTAACTGGTTCGAGCTACATATGTGATTCATAAGGTGCAGTACATCTGACCTATCGGACAATAGCTGAAGATTTTGCCCCAGCGAGAGGGATAACTCTTCATCTGTAGGATCAGGTAAGATCTTGCTCAAAAGTTTGAAGTGAATATGGGGATGCCAATTATGGTTGTGATGAACAAGAGATGCATCTGAAGGAAATCTTTAATGTTTACAGGGTGAAATATGTTGGACTGCGGACATGAGACTTGTTGTGGAGTAACTATTTTATTAGAGTACTTTTATGGATCCTTAGATTTTCTGGGTGGTTTGACAAAAGAACAGTTATGGTTGTAGAGGTGCTGAAAAAAAAATCGATTCAAGTCTGAATCGGGATTCTTATTTATAAAGGTTCAGAATCGATTCCAAGAACTCAAATATTTGGCATGTTACAGGTTTGAGATGTACTTTTTTGATCTTTGTCAGGAGAGTCAGTACTCCGATTACTTTTGTGGTCCCATAAATTGAGATGATTTATGTTTGAATCTGCTGATAAGAGGGCACTTGAATGTCATTTTTTCCATACTCAGAAATTTGAGATATTCTCATATTTATTTTCTAAGTTGATAAACAAGTACTCAGGATTACTCATGTAACTTGTTTCTACATGTACTTGAAAAGTATTTGACCGTATTACTTTCAAAGCTACAGTTAGGTAACTACAGATTAGTTATATTTTACAAGGTAAGCAAAAATAAATGTTGCCTTTTGGTCAAAAGATTGTTTCTGTTTACAGTTTTAGAATCATTTTAGTTTACATAGTAAATTTGCATTTTTGGAGCATGACCAGTTTAAAGTCAAATAAAAATGTCCCATAGCTTTAACTAACTTGTGCAACAAAGTAGTTCATCCTGGAGCTGACACTCTTTGTTAATACTGATTGTGAATCGATTTAAATTGAGAATCGAGAATCGATTCTGAATCGAATCGGCACCCCGAGAATCGGAATCGAATCAAATCGTGAGTTGCTCTAAGATTCATTTCCCTATATGGTTGTATCCTCGATTAGAATATATACCATTGGAATCACAAAAAAAACATGGCTCTCCAATGATGCCATTAGAGATCTACATAAAGAGTGTTGCAAAAAAACGCTGATTTGGCCTGGAAGTGAGTCATATCCCATCTATGAGACTAAAGCCTGATTCATGCTTCTCCGTCTGCGTCAGTGCGGAGACATGCAACGTCCTTGCAGAGCTGCCGGAGAGCTCCGCAAGTACGTACGGAGTCGAGCTCTCTTTTCTAAACACCCGTCAGTTGAGACGGACAACGCAAGCTTGTGATTGGTCAGGACGCCGCTGTTGTCTACACTGCCGCCATTGCGCCCTCAAAAACATAAAGAGAGCCGAGGATAACTAGCGGCAGACACGGAGAAGCTTGAAGAATACCTCGCGAATAAACTCTAAAAGCATGAACGTTTAAATCTCCCGTGACTGGAGGAGTGAAAAGATGCACAGCAAGAGTTTTACTTTTGGACGGAAATGACAGGAAACGTGGGTTTGGAGGTGGCAAGTGCATGAAGAGGTGGAGGAGAATGAGAGACAAATGTGTCTGTGTTAAAAAGTCTCTTTTATACAAAAAAAAAAAAAAACACAATATAAACACACGATCTTGGACCGATACACGAAAGGATACCACAGAACAGCGCTACGCCCTCTGTTGTCCTGGTGGGCAATTGCTTTGCAACACTCCCCAGGAGACGGAGAAGTATGAGAGCAAAACGCTTCCGTCAATCCGTGCGTGTCTGTCCCTTGCGGAGCTGACGGAGAAGTATGAACCAGGCTTAAAGCCGGGCGTACACTGTGCGACTTTTTCACTCGTAGCACTCAGCTTCAGCTCAAACTGTACGACCCAGTTCTCGCATGCGATCTGACTGCTCACACTGTACGTCTGGTAGCAACACGCCGGACCTAAAAATATGCTAAAAATAGCAGTTTTTACACAACACGTTAGACTTTTTTGTCTTGTCTTGCCTGTTGTCCTTCGGGAGTGCTGCAGGAGGACACACAAGGATTTATGGGGGTTGGATGAGGAAAACGAAATAAAGAAAGTAAATCTGTGTTTTGTGATCAGTTTAATTTGACATGAACACGACAAACACGCTTTCTTGACAATCTTTGTGAGTAAAAAAAACGTGTAGAAACAAAAACGAACAACGTGTGTTATTAGGGAAATAGCGGGCGAGCGGTGTTGATGCAGGATTGCGCATGCGCCGTGAGCGGTTCTGGTACTTTTTGGGTCGCAGCTGCTCGCTGCACCGCTTCAACAGTGCGATACCCTGACGAGGGACGAGTAAAATATTAAACACTCCCGAAGTCCGTGCGAGCTCACGATTGCTGATCGGTAGCTGGTCACGTGGTGTTAATCGCCTCTCGTAACCCCCGTACACTACACGATGCTCAGCGCAACACTCGCCCCGATCTTGTGGATTCTCGCACGAGTGGAAAATCGGCTCAAAAAAGTGAAAAAGTCACACAGGGCTCAGCTGGTTGTTGATACATTTGTCCAATCTTACTAGAAAAGATTTCCCCCCATTGTATATATTTACAAGCATAAAAAAAACACTAAAACTATATGGGCTGAAGGTTAGAGAAGTGTTTACTTTCCCCTTGTTTGACTTGTTTTCCTTTTTTTACATATAATGACACAAAGAACTGCAGCACGTCAATCTTGAAAGGTAAGATCCCATGATAAACAGTAACAACAGACAAAGCCGTTGTTACTGAAGATGCAAAACAAGTCATTGTTGTTCTCACCACAGCAGGGCTCCCCAGGTCTAGGGTGTCCCAGATGAAGCCCTGTGGGAGGCTGTATGGCTCCTCTCGAATGTGGTCCTTGTCAGGCTCGATGGATCCATGTGATGTTACAGTCTCCCCTGAGAAGAGAAACATCTGTTGATGTTATTTCCCACATGTCCTAGGGCTTCTGTTTATTAGAAGAACTTGACACAGATCATACCGAGTTTGGGTACCGGCTGTGTGTCCCAAAACTGATAACTCCTCCGACTTGCCTCCTCCATGGTTTTGGCTGGACCTTGTCCAACTGAGAACAGCTCAATGGCCTTCTGGATCTCCTGCAGCTTATCAGCTGGCAACGAGTTCACCTACTCAGAAAGTTAGGAGAAAGACACTTAATGCAACAACAAATGTTTTCAATTATTTCAATAAAGCATCACATTACAGCAACAGTGGTACTATTAAAGCCAAAATACACGAGCTGGTTTACACTCTCCAGACTACCTTTTATGTTAAAATAGGTCACATAAAAAATAAATAAGCTATTGCCTTGGCAAGTGGGTCTGGAGCTTCTTCAGTGGCTCCAGACTTCTTCTTCTTTTTCTGCTTCTTTTTCTTCTTCTTGGCACCAGTGTCGCCGCCGAGACCCCGTTCACTGGAACAGGACAGAAACACAAATTCAGCCACCCATTAGCGAGAAAAGCCAGGTGATATTTAAAAATGGGTTTAATTCGTAGACATTCTTTTAATCTAGTCTCAGAGCTTAAGAAGCCATTATTCCTGTTTTGCAGAATTCTTTCTTTAATGATCTAAACATGGTCCATTTCTCAATACCCAAGGATGCTAGTACGATCTTGTGTACGTGACACGTGTGCTCTTGGCAAGGACACCAGAAAGTCTGTTCTACCGAGCATGAGAGGACGACGATGGCATTTGGAACTGAACTGTTCTCTGTTGCGTCATAGCAACAACCGCTGCTTGTTGCTATGGTAAAAAAAATAAAAGACCCAACATAAAAAATAGTCTAATTTGTCCCATAAATAGCTAAATAATTAAACATTATTTGTATACATTTTTGGTTGACTTTTTGATCAAAATTACCAGCAATTCCTGCTGTTAAATGAAGAAAAAAAAAGTTTATTTTTATCAAAACACAGTATTTAGGGCCACCCTGCTTTTATTTTGATAGTGGGTAAGCTAATTTGAAGGATCGAAAAGTTTGAATAAAAAAACTAATTCACAGCAAATTTTACAGGTTACACACAATTATTTACAATACCAGACAACTTTATATATCTTCATTGGTATTTGTGATATAAAACACTAGTTATGAGCTTTCCCCTCTGATGTTTGGAGTATAACGGTTTTGCGATGCAGTGCATTATGGGATACTTTGTTGTCCCAAGTCCGCAAAAGGATGCATTAATGCATAAAATGGGCAGTGCAGGAACCCATACGGGAACTTGTCATGATATGTACTTAGGATTGGAAAGGCACTTAAAGCCATCGCTGATGAGGTTTCACATGGACGCGAGTACACGAGTTCAAAGGAGTACGCATGTTGAGAAACAGCCATCGTAATTTTGAAAAGAACTTCAATGGGTGGTGGTGGCGGGCAGACTTTATCATTTATTTCAGTACATTTTAGTAATAAATAATGCTAGAATAACGTTTTTTCTTACACAGAAATGTTTACACTTTCCAAACAAATGTGTGTTGACAAAACAATCTGTCGTTGATCTAGCAATTTCAGCTCATTCCAGGTTAAACCTTCATATTAGCTGCAGTTTTCTTAAAGAGCAAGTCACCCCCAAATCAACTATTTTTTTTCTGATAAACTATATAAATGTGTGTCTAATCGTGCTGCAGACACATGTAGTCAATAGTTTTGCACTTTAGTGCATTTTAGTTAAAATTTAAATTTTCTGCCTGAAACTGTCAGTGTTGTGCCATTGTCAGGTAAAACCTCTTCACTGCATTTGAATTTAAATCTGCCACCGCTATTGGCTAAGAGGTACGCTATGATGTAAACTGGTACATTATGATGTCACAATGTCGTGAGTGTGTGTATTTGTTGGTGGCTCCACCCTCTCTGTCTGCTAGGCAACAGCATTTGTTGCATTTTTCAAACATGAAGTGGGAGTGAAGTATGCTTCTTGTAAGGGGTGACTTGCTCTTTAAACACACGTGGCTCCAAAGCAAATTAGGAAGCTGCTACGCCTGTCCAGCTAAATAAAAACAGTCCCAACAAACAGACAGGACAGCAGTGAACATGGATAAGTTGTCAGGCTGCTTTGCATAAACAGCTTCAACTGTATCCTGAAACATGCTGCAAAAGTTATTTGAAGGCACAGGTGAAATTTCAAAAATAAGCAAATGATGCTAAAGTTAATTTATGTCAGTGATTCAACTTAAAAGGTGAAACCAAACTATGAGACAGACGTGTTACATGCAAAGCCAGATATTTCACGTCTTTATTTTTATATTTGTGAGGATTATGGCTTGCAGCTTATGAAAACCAAAAATTCTAAATCCGAGACACTTAGAATATTGTGAAAAGTAGGGCTGCGCAATATATCGTAAACATATCGTAATCGCGATATCAGCATGCACAATATGCATATCGAAAAGAACAGAATAATATTGCAATGAATGATCAGCTCAAATGTTTGCTACACATGATGCATTCTGTCAGTCAAGTGGAAGCATGATGTTTTTTAACAAATCAAATAGAGCTCTTCGCCCATTTGGCCAATTGGGTGGGTTCTCATAGGTCAGATGCCTGCCCCCGAGATGGACGGCACTTAATTTTGATGGTTAGCAAACACCTGAGTTAGCTTTGTTCTGCTCTTTCTGCTGATTCTGCTTTTCCCGGGATCCACTGATTGACTTTTCTTGTGTCTCGTTAGGTAGACAATCTTTAATTATTTCAAATCTGAGAAGCCACACACCTCCCCTAATCTGCCCCAAGAATGACTGAATACTTAGTGGATTATCTCATTAGTGTCTGAGAGGAGAGAGGCCAAGGACCAGGCTGTGTTTGTAAACCCTCAGTGCAGATGGTAGATCACCTGACCACCGGATAAGGGGTATCTGGTATCTATGCATTTGTACATAGGAATGCACAAGGGGTCAGGCAGTGACGGGGACAATGGACAACAAAACATTCAACAGGCTTCCGTTTCAATGGAGTAGAACAGCCAACAGCTAGAACCAGCTTTTGTTCCTGAAGGGTGAGGGGGATTTCTACATGTGCTTCTAGGGAAAATAAAGAGATAACCAATATTACAACAAAACCAAGATCATCACATTCCCATCAAGGTACAAGTGCCTTGTGGTGGTATTTTCTTTTACTGCTTTAGGGCTTTAAAAAAAAAGCTACAAATAGGTATATTAAAAGCTTTAACTTCTGCTGCTCATGACCTTTAAATACCAGTAACTTAAAGGAAAGGTCACTTACAGACCAGAGGAGGCAGGAGACTAATGTTTTGTAGAAACCCTTTAAGTATTTAGTTAATTAATTAAAAAACCGCTAGCATGAACACGTTTAGATTTGTGACACTGGGGTAAACACTGGGTAAAGTAGGGGTTTACTTAAAAGCTCCTTAGAGCTAAGCTAGGTTGTGCATATTTCTCTGTGATTCTAAGGTAAATTCAAAGCTCGCAGATCTTTCACAAAAATAGGGTACATGAGACATTATTACCAAGTTTTGAATAAAAGAAACTATAAGTACGGTATGTTTCACTTTTGGTTTTATGCCCCCACTCAGACAAAAGGGGTTTTGACAGCTTCGTTAGCATGTAAGCTAACTATCACGCTACATGACAACTGGGGTTAATCAGTTACGCAGAGTGAGTAGCGGCATTATAATAAAGAAAATTGTCAGTTTGCTCAATTTAATTTTCAAAGAAAACTATACACCTATGAAAAATGTATGAGTTTAGCAACCAAGTACGCCTTCAATCACACATTGGTTATTCCTCAACACCTCACTACGCCTTGCGTTAGCTGGAGATTCGAGGCTAAATCCCACCTACATGGCTAACAGAATCACCAATCAGAAACAAAGATCTGGGAAAAACGACACAATCTCTAACCAATGACAATAAAGCAAGGGCGGGATAACGCTTCACGATAGGTGTCTAACCTCGCCTGCTTGCCAAAGCCTCTGTTAGCATTCGTGTTGGTTAACGGTGAAGTATTGTTGCTCATGTTACTCCGCCGTGTGAGTAATAATACCCTCTTACCCATCGTCAAATTGGTGCTCTTCGTTTTCACAGTCGCTACAGTGTCCATGGTCCTCTACATCTTCTTTCTCCGGCATCGGTGCTGTCTCATTCTCATCCGCCATCTTCACCGGGAAGTGAAGAGCCACCGTGCTGTCGACGCCTTTAAACCTGCCTCGATGCTATTGGCTCGGAGGTGGAAGCTACGGTGGCGCCCTTGTGTACATTAAACAAAGGCGCAGCAATGTTTCTGGCCTTTTCTTTCGAGTTTTGTTCATTTCTGTAAACGGTGGCGAATTATATAGTTTTTAATACGTTATTGGAAAAAACGTACCCGGATTTTGCATTTATAAACCGTCCCTAAACCCTTTATTCACCACCGGTGTTGTGCTTGATTTTGTTTCTTCGTCGGATAAAACACCGTAGTTGCGCGCGTGATCATTCAAAAACACCGGAATATAAATTCTAGTAATTGAGTTGAAGCAAATAATACTTTAAATATAATTTAAATGATAATAACTGATACACAGAATTGCTCTGTAGAATGAGGACAACGTTTTGAATGACCTGAAACATGATCCTTGTTACTGAATTTGAAACCACTGGCCTGAATCTACAACTAACCCGTTATTTTTGGGTGAGGGATATTTGCAGTTGCGTCTTCTCCTGCAACATTTTTTACATTCAGAATTTAAAAGTCTTAATTAGAAACCACACTAATGTCTGATTTGATATTGATCTCTTTTTAACATACATTCACACTTGGTCACTCATGGTTGTTTATGGAAAACAAACAACCCAACAAAATAGAAAAAAAACAACAACAAGAGATGTTATGTTGTAGTTTTTTCGATGCATCTTCTCTGAGTCTAGCTTTGCTCATCCTATCTGAAATCTACCGAAGACCACCTTGAGAAAATAACCTTTAGAGCAGATTCTTAGTAGCTGCGTCCATTAGCAAATCATTTTATTATCAGTGATGTGTTCAGTAATTTGTGCTGCTAAATCACATAGCTCCTGAGCTAGGCAACAAAGACAACCAGCAAAAGGCCAGCATTTGCAAAAACTAGTTAAACTATTTAAATCTGCCATCTAATTGAAACACACATCAACTTACTCTGAATTCCTAAAAATTAAACATTTGTGGAGATAAATAAAGATTAAGTCAATTCTATGTTAGATTCTTTGTCTTTGAAGAGCAAGTCACCCCCTGCCAGATTCTTACTCAACTCCAACTTCATGTTTGAAAAATGCAACAAATGCTGTTGCCTAGCAGACCGAGAGGGTGGAGCCTCTAACAAATACACACACTCACGACATTGTGACATCATAATGTACCATCTAACATCATAGTGTACCACTTAGCCAATAGCGATGGCAGATTTAAATTCAAATGCAGTGCGTAGTTTTTTCCTGACGACGGTGCATCGCTGACAGTTTTAGGCAGAATATTTAAATTTTAACTAAGATGCACTAAAGTGCCAAATTATTGACTACAATTGTCTACAGCACAATTGGACACTCGTTTATATAGTTTATCAGCAAAAAAAATGGTGATTTGAAGTGACTTGCTCTTTAAAGAGCAAGTCACCCCCTACCATATTCTTACTTAACTCCCACTTCCTGTTTGAAAAATGCAACAAATGCTGTTGCCCAGCAGACCGAGAGGGCGGAGCCGCTAACAAATACACATACACACAGGCTCACAACAGCATTGTGACATCATATGGTACCAGCCAATGTTCTAGGGTACCTCTTAGCCAATAGCGATGGCAGATTTAAATTCAAATGCAGTGCAGATTTTTACCTGACAACGGCACAACACTGACAGTTTTAGGCAGAAAATTAAAATTTCAACTAAAATCCACTAAAGTGCAAAATTATTGGCTACACGTGTCTGCAGCACGATTAGACATGCATTTATATAGTTTATCAGAAAAAAAGGTTGATTTAGGGGTGACTTGCTCTTTAAAAGAAAAAAAGTAAAAGTGCCACAAGCATCTAAAGTAGCATTAAGACTGACTGAATAGCTCAATCATTAATGAACAATAAAAACAGAAAAGACACTAACATGTCTGTATTACATCACAGTGATAAAATAATGAAATGCTTTTGACTACAGTTAGTTCAGTTTAGCTTCCTTCTCACAGCACCCAGACCTCAAGTATGTGTTTAATCTTGATCTAGTGTCTTTAAAGGTGTGGAACACTCGTTTAATATCCACATTTGCAGTGGTCTCTAGTAGGAATGAATGCTTTGTACGTCATAGTCAGGGGGAACAAAGCTTTCTACTAGCCGAGACGTTCGCTGATGTTTCCTGGACGCTAAACCAACAACATCCTTCCCCGTCGTGAAAGATGGGTGAGTCCGTGAATGTTGTGACAGCGTGACGTAGATCTGTCAGGATTTTCTAATCCTGGAGTTTCACCATCTATTTTCTATCAGAAGCTCATCCAGGAGATAGGTGTAGAAGACCATTTTCATGTTCAGCCTGCATGTGAAACTCAGAGTGACTGATTATAATCAAAAATAATTATCGTAAAACGGTTTTTCAGTGTTCCACACCTTGAAATTGAAGTTTAAATATCAAAACATGTTAAAGTGTTTATCAGTCTACGTTATCAATAGTGTTAATATTGTCCTGTTAGTGTGTTTCATGAGCTTCATGATTACACGAGAGGGATATCCAGCTCGGCTTTGCCTCGATTTGAGTCAAAATGGAACCCTTGAGGCCTCGGCTGGTGAAGACGTTGGCCTCCTCCTAACCCCTGTGGTTCATCTGGTCTGAACGCACTTCAAACTTTTTTTCCTTTAGCCATGGCAATCCTCTCCGACACGCTTTTCACAGGGACTCCCCTCCGGCTCACTTTCACATGGATGAAGAGTGTAGCTGGAGACAGACTGGACCCGTCTGCCTTCAGCAGGTGAACATGTCGATAACCTGAACGAAAGCAGAGTTTCACAAGTTACAAATATTACGATGGAGACTTGTAACAAAGCCGACGGGTCAGATCTTGAGGTCGGACCTGTGCGGAGGCTTGTGAAGGGAACAGTGAACTGGCCCACAAAGTCATTCTTGGCAGTGTGATCGTGGTCCTCCACTACGAAGCGCACCAGAGCCAGTTCAGGAACCTGCAGCTGGAAACTCAGAGTGCAGTCCCACCGTGGGTTGAAACCTGTAGAGGGCGCACATGAGCCGTGAATGCAAGGGGAAGACATCTACAGTTTATGCCTAACTAGAAACAAGCATAAAGACATTTATTATGATTATTTATTTCCTCTTTTTCTTGCATTTCATTATAATAAAGGTTATATGACGTGACACTAATTTGCAGCAATAATTGCATCAAATAAATGATTTCTGTTTCACAGTCATGAATAGACCCTTTTACTGTTTGTAAACCATATGACGTCAGCGAGAATGCGCGCGCAGCTTGGCAACAGACAATGGCGTTGTGTCAGGCTTTATCAAGCTATGCTGCGGGGTTATCACCGGCAAATCTTGAATGTTATATTATTAAACTCACTTTAACGAATGGCAACAGACTCCCGGATCCCTGTGGCATTACGGAATGGGTGGAAGATGTAGGTGCGTGGCCAGATATCCAGTGGCCCGATATATATACGTTTTTAGTGGAGAGGCCCAGTAAGTACACACGTGAGAAGCTACGGGCATACAAATCGTTAGATGCATACAACTATGTTGTCTGTGGCCACGTACAGAAAGTAAAATATCACAACATAGACTCTGAGTTTTGCGTCTTGAAGGCAGAAGTCCTTCCTAGCCAAAGACAAGGACACAAGACTGCTATGTACGAGGCTTGGGTCATAGTAAACAAACCAGAGAACTACGTACCTGCATGGCAGGGTGAGTATAACATAGGTTTCTTTTTTTAGCGTGCTCAGCAGTGTTGGGTAAGTTACTTCAAAACTGTAATACATTAATTATTACTTGTTACCCTCATTTTAAAGTAATTCATTACATTACAATATTACTGATTTTAAAATGTAAGGCATTACACTACTTTTGCATTACTCTAAGTTACTTTGAACAAAACAACTTCAGTATGAGTTTGGTAATCTGATGCCTGGTGAACTCATGACACATCCGGTGGAAGGTGATGTGGTGTCTGAGCTAGGATTGCTGTTAAAAACAGATCTTTAGAAGGATTGTTTATGAAATAAATGAAACAACAATCTGTACTCTCAGCACGCTGCCATCTTATATTAACTGAGCAGGGAGTGAGGTGGTGGGGGCTCCAAGTCTATTTTGCCTTGGTCCCCAAATGCCTTGATACGGCCCTGGATGTGGGACTGGCTTCTGGGGTGATCTGATTCTATCACATGTATAAATATTAAATGCTTATATATTATTGCTTTTCACTGGTAAAAATGTGTATTGGGGATAAATCTACCTATTTTTTTCTTTTCAAGCACTTTGTTTTGTTTTCTTGATTTTATTTGAATAATTTCCTGCCCTTTCGCTTTCTCTAACCTTCCTGCATGCTGCATGTTTTCTCCGTATTCCAGAAAAAACTGTTTCCTAGACTTCCTACTTTCTAACTATCAGCCAAAGGAATCTTCACATGCGCAGCGCTCCAGCAGCAATGAGTTAAAATCACCGGAGCCCAGATTAACTCAGCTGAGGCAAAGCACAGTACAGAATACCAGAGAACATGCGCTGATATGAACGATCGCAGGTGAATTATTTTGTTTTAGTGGAGCGATTTTGTGAATGTTGCAGCGGCCGCGTGGAGGATGCAGCTGGAGTAATTGAGCCGGGTGCAGAACAGAACACCGGTACCGCTGCGTCCTCTCTGCCTGCAAAGCGGAGTCCATAAATGACGTAATATATGCAGATACTGGATCTTTCTTCGGGTTTCCCGCAATTTGAATTTTTAAGAAACACATCTTGATTCTGGGTTTAAAATGCATTGTAATTACTGCGTTACTGACAATTGTACCGAGTAAATATCACCATTTTTTTTCCCCTGTAATGCCTTACATTATCACATTACAACAAAAAGCAATGCATTACAGTAATTAATTACTTCTGTACCGCATTACTCCCAACACTGGTGCTCAGAGTACAATCGTGTTAATTTTAGAGAAGTTTATACTAATATGCAGTGGGAAAATACAGATGAATTAGAATGAAATGTTAATTTCATTTGCAAACCAGCAAACGCAACTTACTTTATTTAATAGAACACACGTTAACCAGCTTTCTGGTGTAATCTTAGTACATAATTACCTTACCTGATATAAAATGGGCGCTACAAACTCGAGCATTTCGGATCGTGCACGTTTTCAGTCGTTTTCATCAACCCTTTTGATGGCCTGTAGCCAAAGACGCCTCCGATTTTGTTGAAACGGATGTGCTCCCTTCGGAATTCTGTAAAGTTTCAGTCCACTGCTTGAAGAGAAGCAATTCTGGCATCCATACACGCAACAACCCGACATTTTTATGTGCTCAGAACTTCAAAACAAAGGGTTTAAAACGCTGTTTTAGTATCGAGGGTGAATGAGGAAGCCTTCGCTCTCGTTGCCAGGCTGCGCGCGCAACTTTTGATGACGTAGGTAGTAAAAGGGTCTATTATAAGATGGGTTGTTTTTAGTTCGTACCATTGTTGTCAATGCGGTGGGTTTTATTCTTTGCACTATCAATGGCCACCCCGTGAATTTCCACCCACACCTGTGGATCCACAATGGAACTGGCTTTCTCTGTGTTGATTTTTGGGAGCTGCTGTGCAGAAATGATCTGTAAAACAAGGATTTGTGGAAAAAAAAAAAAAACACCTTCAATAAAAATGGAAGGGATGTTAATAACAATAGAAAAATAATAAACTAAGAAGTAAACCACCCCAAAATAGGAGCGTTTCTTGATGAAAAACAATTAGTTTCAAATCATCACAATTACAGCTCACCCTTATAGTCAGCTGGGTGGGGGTGTGGCCGGGGCCTCCTCCAGTGTTCTCAGGGTTAAAGTTGGATGTGGAGCTGCACAAGAAGCTGGGTTTGAGAACGTACCCACAGCGACCATTGGGGAGGAAGCGACCCTGGTTCAGGTCCATCTGCTCCCCGGGAGTCTGGAAGTTCAGAGCCACTAAGGATCATAGAGGAGGGGGAGGAGTCAATTACACAACTAAGAATAATCCCACAGAACTATAGTCAAGCAGAAGCAGCGCTAAATGATCATTTTCCCTCTCGAACAAAGCTGAGCAGCTTCCCATTTCTACTGCTGAATACCGACCCATCTGGCAGCCGCAGTTCCACATTTCCTGAGGATCATAGTTGGATGATTGCAGGCGCTGGCCAGAGGGGTAGATCCGGCTCAGCTGCCTGCTGTTGTGTCGTACAAAAAGCTTCCCTACAAACGAAAAACATTTTTTATAAAACAGCGTGAAATGCCACACTGGAGGCTGATTATGTATTTAGCAGCTCAAGCTGCACAAAGTCTGCTCTCAGTGGCCGTTACTGTAGAAAAACAGCAGTCCAAAGTACCAGAGTCTTTGATGAGCTTGACTGCTTCACACTCTGAGAAGGAAGACATTTCCTCTGGAGGTAATTTACGTGCATTTTCAAAGCCTCGGAAAGGAACGCTCCTGCAGTACACCACCAGCGCCGACAGCTCAGGGCTGACTTTAGACGAGACCTGGCAACAGGTAAACAAATCACACTGGATGTTTAGCTGAAATGTTGTCTGTAAATGTTTCTCTGACTTAATTCCTCCTGAACTGACCCTTGTAGGATCTCCTCTGGGTGTGTTCTTGTTGCTGCTTGCCTGGTCCTCCTCTGTGCTAGAGGAGAAGCTGGCACAGCTTCCGTTTTTTCCCAGCTGACCAAGGTGAGGAGTTACCTTCTTCCCCTTCACCAGAATACGTCCCTTAAGCTCCTGCAGGAAAGGTCATTGGAACAAATGATTTAATTAGAAAACCAGAAAGCCTGAGGGCTTTGAAAAAGTGTGTGTGTGCGCGCGTGCATTTGAGTGTGTGTACTTCAGGAGAAGGCAGCTCTTCAAGCAGCAGGTCACTGAGAGGTGTAGAGAGCAGTTTCTTCCCCAGGATGGTGCAAAGATACTTGGCCATGACAGCCTGCTGCTCCACTGAACAGTGGTTCTCCAAGGACAGGATCAAAGGGTACGGAGATGCCTGTAGGGGAAAACACGAGGCTGTTAAATGGCATTTAAGCCACGTAACAGGACTCTTGTTTTTTGCATGAACCAAAATACCAAGAATGTCAACAAAGGAAGGATTTATTTCCTGACAGACAGGAGGAGGCGTGCACCGAGAACGATTCATACCTTAAAGGCGTACTGGGAGATGGTTTCGATCACCTCCTTAAAAGGAACTTTAGAGGTGAGGGTGTGTCCGTGGTAGATGACAGGCTCACCTTTATCTCCATCCCAGCAGTCCAGCTCCACACAGCGACAGCCCTGATTCAGGGCCCTGATGTGCAACACACACACACACACACACACACACACACACACACACACACACACACACACACACACACACACACACACACACACGTTGCACTGTTTCTAGATGGATTTCACTTAAAGGGGAACTAGGCAGTTCAGGCTTGTATTTAGCACCCCCTAGCATGCGTTTGTAGAACTGAAAGCAAAACCTATCTCTTCGCTGGTCGTTTGTCTTTTATATAACAGCTAAAGTGTCTCCCAGCCTTCTTCAGCGTCTACAGGAGCAGTTCATCACGGAATTAAACAAATCAGCTGTGCTCATGATCTAAAACAGACAGGAAATGTGCTGGAAGTAGACTGCAGTACCAGGTATGTCCGCTCATTTTTTTCTAAGTCCAACCGACCAGACTGGCAACTCTGAAGTTGCAAATACGGTATTCCTGCCACAGGGGGCGATAGGGGCTGGTTGGCCTTTCATTAACCCTGTAAAGGGCTATTTTAGCACACACTGGCTCAAGAAAATGATTTAAAAGTATGAAAAAGTTGCTAAGTATCCCTTTAAAGGTGAGCTTCTCGAAGGCCTTTATTTGTACCTGATGTACGGCTCAGTGCTGCTGGCGCTGGTGACCTGGTCCTTGGTGAGGTATGTGTTGTGTGAGGAGGAGATGAAGTAGTGGGCCAAAGGGCGCCTCATGTCCTGGTAGACTCTGGCATGGCTGGGGTTAAACACATCGTTCTCCAGAGACAGCATGTACATGGCAAAGCCGTTCTGTGTCATGAACTTGTTCTTCTGAGCTGCAATAGGTAGCGACATGTTTCCATCACATCACTGGATCGTATTTCAGTTTAGAGGTTTACCAGACAGTGGAAGTATTTTAAAATTACTACGACAGTTTTAGTGATCAATGTTAGCATCCAGAATCCTAACGGTTCAAAGTCCGCAATAAGATCAAACCTACATGTTTATATTCTTTTCTGCTTGTCTAAGGTTGGATCCAGAAGGGAAACACAGACGTCCTTCTCTCCAGGTCCTTCTGGGGAATCTCAAGGCATTCCCAGGTTAAAGAGGCAACGCTGGGATCTCGCTCCGTTGCCAAGAAAACCTCAGGCTACCTGGAGGCTTCCTAATCAGATACCTGAACCACCTCTGCTGACTCTTGTCAAAATGAGCAGCAGCTCTACTCTGAGCTCCCCATGGGTGATCCAACTTCAGTGAGACAGAGAGACTAAACAACAGAAGCTCAAAGGGTTGAAACATTTACTTGTTTTTACTTACTTATTTTGACATTTCTGGCTAAACTAATGGTTTCAAGCTCCTTTCAGAGCAGCAGCAGGACCTGTTGACAGGGTAAATCACTGATCTGACATCAGCATCAAAAGGGACTTTTAATAAGTGTTTGTATGCAAACACAGTGGGTTGTTAAACTGGTTTAATGATGGGTTTCAGAGACCTACCCCAGTCATTGAGCTCATAGGCCAGTATGAGACTCTGAGCGTGTTTCAGCGAAGCGTCTTCTCCTTGGTCTCCGAGGAAGTCTCGCAGCTCGGCGATGGAGAGCACAGAGCCACTACTGGAATAGTGTCTGAAAACGGCGTCCAGCTCGGGCCGCCGCATCAGCTCCCTGCAGAAACCTTCAATCTCCGAATGATCCAGACGTCCATCGCCGGATCGGTCACACCGCTGGGATTCAGGAGGGAATGAGTTCATGAAGACAGGTGGCCAAACAGAGGGAAGAAGGAAAATAAACAGAAAGGAGTTGTTTGGGGAGTGTTTCTTGTCTCCTGTGGCACAAGGTATCTCCATAATAATTCAATTCAACTGTTAACGCTTTAAAAATCCAAGATGGTAAGGAGAAAAGAAAACACCAGGTGTAAAAACAACCCACTCTCAAGCCAGAATCCCACTGGGATGAGACTGTTAACGACTAGTTGGAGACACAAGAGTGTGAGAAGATATGGATTACGTGGCATTATGGTGTAATTTCCCAACTTATTCATTACGTTTTTTATCTTCCAATAACAATATCGCGAGGCCCTGTGACTCAAGCGAGGACGCAAAGAACCCTGGAGACATTTGGAAACCCTGCCTAACTCCAACAGCTGTATCCCAATTAGATTCTGGCTCTAGACAGATCAGATAACACAATTATGTCACTATAACAAGGATGAAAATGATGATGGTCCTGACCTTGAATAAATTGCGAGAATACTGCTCACTCAGGTCAATGTTAATCATCTGTAGCAGCCGTTTGACTTCATCATAGGTCATCTTCCCGTCCCTGTTCTCGTCCGCACGCCTCAGGTAGCTTTGAATCCAATTGTAAGGAGTTAAGAAACAAACAGGCTGACCCTAAAGTCAAACTCATTCAGGTAACACATTGGATTGTGTCATGTAAAACTGCACTAGGACTTGTCACTGACTTTCTGAATGAATTTTAGAACAAATGCCTTGTGAGTCGATCTCTGGCGCTCCTGTTTCAGGAAGTTAGCTATGAGCAAGGGGAACAGAACAGCATTCTACCACTAACTCTGTTTGCTTTACAACGTTGATGTTTTATCTCCACAAATAACACAAGCCTGCAGGAGTTCTGCTGTGTGGTGGAATTGCTAATGCTAACAGTTAGCTTCTACTAGCCAAAACGTGCTCTGCTCTCTCCTGGATGCAAAATCAACAAGTCTTCCCCGTCAAGAGCAAAGATGGGTGAGTCCATGAATGCTAATTTAAGAGTGCCCCCGTCTATTTTCTGTCAGAAGCTAATGCAGGAAATAGGGGTAGAAGACAATTTTCACGTTTAGTCTGCAGGTAAAACTCAGAATGACCAATCATACTTAAAAAATAACAAGTAAAAAACTGTTTCTAAGTGATCTTGGTCTAACACTTTTTCCACAGAGCAGCAAGGATGGTCCTCTACCTGATACTTAAACTAACTCTACCCTCTGACTATGAGAGAAGGTAATTAACAGTGATGGTTGGACTATATTTAGACACTGTTTTTTTATTTATTTAGTCCTCACAGCTCACCAAAGCTATGCTCAGTACGTGGGTTGACACATGTGACAGCAGAGTCAGTCACCATAGCAATGCTGCCTCAGCCACGCTATATTTGCTCAAGCATATTGAAAATTTATCCCCGCAGGATATTGGTCCAGTTTTTCTTTCTGCGTCATGCTGGCCACCTGGTGCTTCAGAAACCTGAGCCCTCGCACCCAGCGCTGGGCTTCGTCCGCGGAGTGGCACCGCAGGTCCAGGCTCTTCCTGGCCCCGCTGAAGACCACGGTGAAGCACTGGTTGTCCGGCACCGACCCGGAGAGCCGCCTTAAAGCCTCCGACTGGCAGCCTTCACGAACACACTCCACCTCTGTTATAGCAACTGGAGGAGGAAGAAACGGAAGTGGAGTTCAGTGTGTGTTGATGAGTAAACAGCTTCAGCAGCAAACCCCAACCCTTAGAGCAGATAAAGGTCAAGTGAGAGGAGTTTTCTGGGAATCATACATCCCAGCAGAGTGACACAGCAGACAGACGGTCAAATATAATGAGACGAGACAACAAGAGGGATCATTCTTAACACACACCTGCAGCTTGTTCTTCATGTGCTGAAAATAAAATAAGCTGTTTCACTGAAGATTTATATTAGAATAATATAATGTGAAATAGAAAATAATAAAAATGCTGATGTTTTGTAGGTTTAACCTGTAAATCTGATAATCGACTGAGGTGTCTCCATTCTGGGAGTCTTTCTGTTTCTTGAACTGTCTACACTTAACTTTTGCTGAAGCAGCAGCCTCTCAGGGGCTTTTCTCTGAGGGGTTTTAATCATCCCTAACCCTAACCCATCCCTCCCAGTAAATCTCACGTTTGGGAGGAGCCCACAAGCTCTTAATGAGATTTAAATCAGAAGAAGGGGTCGGCTCATTATTCGGTTATCTTGGTCAGCCAAGCGGTGGAGTATAGTCCTGCATAAAGATGGCAGACATATTTAATTTAACAACTTCTTCCTGCTTGAGACATCCAGCAGACATCTCTCTCGTACCTTTGTCCTGTTTCTGAGCACGATACAACGACTACAGGCCTGCAGCTTTGACACCTCTCATTATGAAGTACATGGAGAGACTAGTGCTGCAACACATCAAGGCTGTTCTCCCTGCCACGCTGAACACCCAACAAAATGCCTACAGAACTAACGGATCAACAGCTGACGCCATCTCTACCACCCTCCACATTGTTCTGACACACCTGGAACAACCAGGAACATATGCAAGGCTTCTATATGTGGACTACAGCTCTGCATTCAACAACATTCTCCCCAGCAGTCTACTCCACAAGATGTCTGACCTTGGCCTCAAGCACAAAACCTGCCTCTGGAATACAAGACTTTTTAACAAATTGACCACAGTCTGTTAAGTTAGGCCCCCACCATTCCTCCTCTCTGTCCCTCAGCACAGGAGCCCCACAAGGCTGTGTGCTGAGTAGGGCTGCAACAAACGATTATTTGGATAATCGATTAATCGGATGGGGTCTCGACACGATTAATCGATTAATCGGATTACATGGGGAAATTTTTTAAAACTGCTAGGGAAACGTTATTTCTCTCCTTCCTTCACTTTATTTAACACAACATTATTAGAAAACAGTTCAATAGCAGAAAAACAACATGCCATCACCTAAATTGTCTTATAAGGTGTATAGACAGAGACCCTAAGCTACATCTATCTGTGACCTAAAATGCTTGGTCCAAGTTAAACAGCTTAAGGGCAATTCTCATCTGTTTTGTTTGATCTCATCTGTTGACATTTATTTTAAATGTAATTAAACATAGGCCGTGAATTAATCAAAATTGATCACTATTTCCAAAAATGACTGAAAAAATACCAAATAAAACAAAAGTAAATGAATGCCATCCTCCTTGTGATGATGCCCTGGGCAACTGCCATAAAGTCACATCAAGAAATGCTGCTGATCATTCCAATGATCCCAAATAGACTCACATTAGGCCACATGAAAGCAACTGAACCCAAAAATATATTAACCAGTATATAACTGCACTCTCACACAACATGCCTGCAGCAACAGTTAGGACTCCTCCCTCCCTTTTAAAAGCGTTTTTGCTTCTGAGGACATTGTGGTTGTAAAACCACATGCTAGTCTGGCCCCGGTGTGATCAACCAGTTTCTGCGGGAATGTGACGGCGGAACCAGGGCCAGATTAACACTTTGTTGTACCCTGGGCAACAATATTCAAGGGCTCCATCATCACGACCCAAGGATCACCATAATGTGGTCACATACAGAATATTTTACTGTAATATGCAGTAAATATACTCAATACTTGAATGCCTGAAAACACGTAACCCGCCCAGAGTAACCTTTGACCCACCTTGTGTGGACTGACCAATGAGGAAAGGGTCTTAACTTGAGGCCCTCTCTTCTTGCCTACGACTGACTCTCAACTGACGTTCAGTCGTAGGCAGCGAAGCGTCTCTGTGCAGAGCAAAAGCCCGGGTGGACAGTTTGTTTAATGTAGGGTGACCATATTTCCATTTCCAAACAAGAGGACAGGGATCTGTGCCTATGATGTCACACTATGGCAACGCCACACAAACCATGTTGGGACCCATTTTTTGTAAGAACTAAATTAATATCAGATTCTGCCAATTAAAGGGCTCTAAAACAATTCATATGTAAATATTTTGCATATTTAATGCAAAATCTAATTTTTCTGCTTTAGTGCTGCAACAAGGTTTTATTAATAATAAATTATAATACCTTTTGTTTTACTACAGCATCGGTAAGCTTCCTGTGCACAGATTATTAAGGATGCTTGTTTCAGCTGTGAGATTAGACGATAGGATCAATGAAAAAATAAGTTGTCACAGACTCCATGGAAACTTTCAGAGAATCCACAAATAGTGGCTTTCAAATGGTTTTGTTACTTTTTGCAAGTTTATAAAAGAAGCAGATGAGACAGCATGTCTGATAATTTAGTTTTTCATCTGATAATATTAGAACATGTCAGTAATGTCTGAGGGGCTTTTATAAACACCATATAACTAACACTACTGGAGAGGGCATGAATTACACAGAGGCTTCTGGGGAGCCCAGTTATTGGGGGGGGGGGGGGGGGGGGGGCATTTTGCCTTGGCCCCCAAAATGTCTTGAAACGGCCCTGGGTGTGTGACTGAGTTTTGAAGGTGATCTGAATTGTATCAGATGTATAAATATTACATGTGTATAACTTGTTGTTTTTTACTGGTAAAAACGTGTAGTGGAGATAAATCTACCTACATTTTACTTTTCAACACTTTGTTTTGTTTTCTTGTTTTTATTGAACTATTTTCCTGTCCTGTCTGTCTCTCATCTTCCTGCATCTCCTCTTAATTCTCCAGAAAAACTGCTGCCTGGATTCTTACCTTTTCACCTCATCAGTTACTTTTGAGCAGATCAAAGGGATCTCCTGACCATAAAGCGGAGTGCGCGTTTTCGATGCTGCGTGAGGTGAAATCACCGCAGCACAGGTGATGAGCTCCGCAGTAGCGCGCTTCAGGCACAAATAAGACAGAAAATAGAGAACATGTGCGGACATGAACAATCGTGTGCTAATTATAGTTTTTTGGTTGCGCCACTTTGAGAATGGACCGTGCGCTGGAAGCAGCTGCCTGGATCGCTGTGCAACAATGCGGAACCGGTTCGCAGCAGCGCAAGTCTGCCGGCTCTCCCTCGCGCTGATCTGCCGCTACCGGCTCTCCCTCACGCTGATCTGCCGGCTCTCCCTTGCGCTGATCTGCGGCTCTCCCTCACGCTGATCTGCGGCTCTCCCTTGCGCTGATCTGCGGCTCTCCCTTGCGCTGATCTGCGGCTCTCCCTCCCGCTGATCTGCGGCTCTCCCTCGCGCTGATCTGCGGCTCTCCCTCGCGCTGATCTGAGGCTCTCCCTCGCGCTGATCTGCGGCTCTCCCTCGCGCTGATCTGCGGCTCTCCCTCGCGCTGATCTGCGGCTCTCCCTCGCGCTGATCTGACTTGCTCTGGTCTGCGCGCAACGGCGGGCGGGAAGGGGGGGGGGGGGGGCGCTTTTGGAAGAGTTGTGCGACACAACGAATCGATGACGCAATTCGTTGCCAACGCTTTTAGTAATCGATTTTCATCGAATTTATCGATTCGTTGTTGCAGCCCTAGTGCTGAGTACCTTCCTGTACTCCCTGTACACACGAGTGTAAGCTCACCCACAACACCAATAAATTTGCTGATGATACAACCGTTGTGGGCCTAATCAGCCAGGGAAGTGAGTCAGCATACAGGGAAGAAGTGCAGCAGCTGGTGGACTGGTTTACAGCTAACAACAAAGACCCTGAACACCACCAAAACCAAAGAAATCATCATTGACCCAAGAATGAAAAGGTGGAGCACCAGTCACTCACAATAAATAGTGAGCAGGTGGAGAAGGTCACAGTTCAAGTTCCTGGGCATAGGGATGGGTACCTTTGACATTTGAATCGATCCGGTACTAATTCCCGGTACCTACGAATCGATACCGGTACTTAACGGTACCAATTTTCGATACTTTTGAGTGTTTAATATTTTAATTCTCTTTTATAATTAAATATATATTTTTCTCAATGTATAACAATATTTGATAAATATCACAATAAATAACACACAGCTGTTTTTATTTTAACATCATCCTTGTAGTTTTATAAGCTGATAATTAAACTGGAGAAAACATCTTTACTGTGAACTAAATTTACTGTGTATCTTCTTTCCGTTTGCTGTCATTTTTCAATTGATTTTATCTTAAACAGTTTATTTAACTGCTGGAGCAGATTAAAACTATGATGCCTCACACTTAAATCGTTGTTACTGGTTTCATCTTCAACCAATCACCCAATCACCCATCGCATTTAGTAAAGCGAAGCCAAACTTTAGAGCCCGTTCATGTTCTTCTAGTCGGAATTTCGGAGTTCCGAGGAGAAGGCGAACACACCATTAGTGAAACGGAAGCTAACATATCAAGCTAACGTTATCTTAAACATTTTATTTACCTACCGGAGCAGATTAAGATGAGGATGTCTCACTTAGATTGTTGTCGCTGGTTTCATCATCACCCAGTTACCCATCACATTTAGTGAAGTGGACCCAAGCTTTAGCGTGCGTTCTTTCTACCATGCTGCTCTGTTTACAACTGGCTCGCAGCGACCGACGACATAACGCTCTTGCGCATGCGCAGCTGTCTAGGTAAGTTCTCGTTATGAAGGACGGGTACTGAAACGAGGCACCGTTTGAAATGACGTGAATCGGTGCTCAGTCGGTACTGTGGAATTCGGTCGGTACCTTAAAAAGTACTGAATACGGTACCCATCCCTACCTGGGCACAAACATAT